GGGGGGGAGGAAGGAAGAAAGAAAGGCAGGCAGGCGTAGGGAAGGAAGGAAGGCACAGGAAAGGAAGGCAGGCAGAGGGAGGAAGGGAAGAAGGAAGGCAGGAAGGCAGAGGGAAGGAAGGAAGGCAGGGGGAGGGAGGGAGGGAGGAAGGCAGGCACAGGAAAGGAAGGCAAGTGGGGGGAGGAAGGAATAAAGAAAGGCAGACAGGGAGGAAGGAAGCAGAAGGAGGGTGGGTGGAAGGAAGGAAGGAAGGAAAGGAAGGAAGGAAGGAAGGAAGGAAGGAAGGAAGGAAGGAAGGAAGGAAGGAAGGAAGGAAGGAAAGCACAGGAAAGGAAGGCAGGTGGGGGGAAGAAGGAAGAAAGGCAGGCAGGCAGGCAGGCATATAGGGAAGGAAGGAAGGCACAGGAAAGGCAGGCAGGCGGAGGGAGGGAGGGAGGGAGGGAGGAAATAGCTTTCTAACTCCCTTCTGTTTCCTGTATCATTTGGTTTCTGCATCCAAAGAATTGCTGTATAGACCCTACTAATGCCCATCTCAACGTGTCTCTTTCTCTTCAGTGACCTTATACAACTGCTCGGTGGGACACTTAGATTGCAGCCGCTGCCAAACCGCCGATGCCAAGTATAGCTGTGTGTGGTGTGGAGGAGAGCAGCCTAGCTGCCTATTCCAAGACTCCTGCAAAGAAGAGGTCGCGGACACATGCCCGGCCCCGTTGATCCATGCAGTGAGTAACCATCCAGGGGGATGGAAGCCAGATGCTCGGTGAAGAAACCCACAGGAATCTAGAATGCTTGCAAATAGCCTAAGGAGGCCCAGACTGGTGAAGATAACGGTTACCAAGGCAGCTAGTTCTGACATAGCAACTGGAGAGCTTCTCATCTCCGAAAGCAGCAGCTTCCTTTGGAGCAGGACTAGTAGTTTGGAGAAGGCAACTACTCCAGCTACTAGTTTCCATTTCTTTCCAGCAGACTACTTTGATTTTGCACCTAGTGAAAGTTCCGAAACCCCTTAATTATATAAACATCTGGAGTTCTTCTTTATGTGCAAAACAGAGCAGCTCGTAATAAGTTGTAATTGTATCGCAACATAAAATAACGAATACAATGGTGGTATGATCTGAAGACAGGAGATGTGTCTCTGCTTTTGCTTCATCCAGCTGGAGCAGCAGGCTCTTAGGGGTGTGCAGGTGGAAAGGAAAACCTGGCCTCTGCCTGTCTCCAAGCTCCAGCTTTCTATTAAAGAGAGAAAGCAAAGCCATGTTGGCTTGATCTGGTTACAGATTGCAGGCTGGGAGCCTTTGGAGCAATTGCATTTGGTTATACAGTGAGACCATTAAGATCAAATGGAGCTATAAGTCTTTATCTGAAGGGTAGCATAACAGGATGGTTTTTGTATTCTAAAAATGGAGCCTCATATATAGATAATTCATGAGCGTGGCTTTGTTCTGAAAAATACCTAAAATGTATATCAGGACCGAGCCTTATTTATATGAGACATCTTGATAAGTATCTGTAAGAAAAGGGATCAGAGAATAATATTCAGAGCTCCCCGTTCATGTTTACAAGCTTTTTCACAGAATTGACCTTGACAGGAGAAATCAATATTACACTGAAATTTAAAGAAAGGCTTCACTGAGGAAGTGGTTCTTAAAGAAGATGGAGGAGAGAAGGGGTGGTAATGAATAGAGAAGGGCAAGCAGGAGAGAATTATCCCAGAAAATAACATATACTGAAAAGAAGAAAAAGTGATTTAAAAGAAAAACATGCAAAGGCAATGAAAATAAACAGGACGATATGAAAAGATGAAAAAGGTGATAAAGCAAAGGCAGAGAACCAGAGAACATAAAGCAGATATGTCTAAAGGCCTTGATAAGATCAGGGGAAAATCAACAGTGAACAAAACCCAAAACAATAGAGATTTTTATAGTGCCTTGAAAAGGTAAACAGATTAATATGTATGTAGATGGCTTTCTGTTTAAACGTTTCAGAGATAAGCATAAAAATGATTAAAATACGACTGATAAATGTACAAAACCATAAAAAAATATAATAAATAACATACATACTTTAAAAAGGGCTGGGGCCAGGAACAAAACTAATCCTTTTAAAACATGTAGGGATTAATAGGGAAATTTCAGTAGAAGTTCTCACAATAGATTCTACTGAAGAGAGAACTACGGTAAGCCTATAATATATATAACTATAAAGAAGACTGGCTTGTAAATTACTGCAAGATGACAGTCCACAAGTCATGGTGCAGGCAGAAAGACCTCCTCAGACACAAGGAATCCATGTTGACAACATGGACTCCACTCCATGGTTTCAAAGGAAACCATGCTGTGTAGACCAGGGGTGTCAAATTCAATTTCATTGAGGGCCGCATCAGGGCTGTGGTTGACCTTGAGGGGCCGGGCGAGCATGGCTGACTGGGTTGGGGGTGGCCAGCTTGCTGCCACTCACTGAGTATGGCCAGCTGGGTGGGCATGGCCAGCTTGAGGCCACTCCCCAAACTGCTGGCATGTTTCCTCTTTGCGCTAGGTAGACTGGGCCGAAGTCAGGCTGGCCTGATCTTTCCTCTTTGCATTGGGTAGACTAGGGCAAAGCGACACGGGAAGACTGGGCCGAAGCAATGTGAGTAGACCAGGCCGAAGCGACACGGATTGTCCCCTCATATGTTCCAGGATAGCCCTGTGGGCCAGGTCCGACCACATTGTGGGCTGGATCCAACCTGCGGGCCTTGAGTTTGACACCCCTGGTCTAGACTATGACTTCCAGGTTGTCATCTCTGTTAAGCCTGGATTCCCCAACGGTTGTTAAGGAAAACAAACTAAACAGAATGTACAGTGAAGTCAGATAGGAAGACAGGTAAATGTGTGAGATAAGTTTTCTAGTTAACACGCAGTAAAAATACAGATACGCTTGTGCTATCAAAAATATAGTTTATTCCATTTAAGAATTATAGCATAGTCAAATAAACGGTCCATTAGTCATATATCAATTTCAGTCAAGTCTTGTCGGGGATATTCTATTTGCAAAGTCCGTGTTGAATAGCCAATGTCAGTTCACTTACAATAAATCAGTCCAATCTTTATCTTCTCTCCGTTGAGAAAAATCAACACTTCTTTTTCTCTCCCCGTTCCAGCAAGAACGCAGTCATCAATCCATCCAGTAATTAGGGATCAGTAAGCCAGAGAGAGAGAGCTGCAATTGCCTCGCTTCTTATATAGTGCTTTTACAACCACACCCTTAATTACATTCTTGCTGTTAAAGTTACACACACTTTAACTAACAAACCATGATACTATATTTATTATTTTTACCCAAACCAGTTAGGGTAAACAATGTTATCCCTAACAATCTCCTAGGTCCGTGATGGCAAACCTATGGCATGTGTGCCACAGGGGGCATGCAGAGCCATTTGTGCCAGCACACAAGTTGCAGGCAAACTTACCTCATTGTGCATGTGTGCACCTCACAGCTGATTTTCGGTGTGTTTGAGGCCTTTTTCGGCCTCCCAAAGGCTTGAGGAAGGCTTCTGCAGGCTTCTACAAGCTTTGTAGGCCGAAATCTAGCCCTGTTTTGTCACTTCCGGTATTTTCGGAAAAACAGGAAGTGATGAAACTGGGCTAGATTTCAGCCTACAAAGCTTGTTGAAAAAGGCCTCAAACACACCGAAAATCAACTATGAGGCACAGTGCAGGTAAGGGGGTGGGGGTGGGATTGCATGCGCATGTGTAGGGAACATGGGGGGGGGGGCACATTGCCTTCTGGGTGCTGGCACGCGAATGCGAGTGTGTAAGCTCACACTCAATTTTTGGCACAGGAGCCCAAAAAGGTTAGCCACCACTGTCCTAGGTTCACCATTTAGTTTTTTGGCATCTTGAAATCTTGATCATTAACATGGTTGCCACACAAATTGTATCCCTTGAATGTCACCCATCAGAATTAGGCAACAATGTGGGGAGGGGGTACAAGAGACAAAAAAATGAATGCTAGTCATCCTTCATTCCGTGTGTTTAAAATTTAGGATTCAGCAAGCAGTTTTGCTAGCAAAGTCATAATCATGCTACCGATCCCATAATAGTGAGTTCATCTGGTGAAATCTGAATAGCATTCTAATTAACGGACTAGAGGAAAAAATCTGGAAATCCCTGCCTTACATCTTGTTTTTCTTTTTCTTTTTATGATCCTATAGTGTGTAGTTCCTTAATTCAGTGTAGTCAGGACGACTGGATGAAGCTGAGCATTTACTGGCCATATGCCCTTCCTGACACCTATGTGGTGTTCACAGTAGACATTTTTCTTTGAGCCCTAACAGAGAAACATCTGCTGCCACCTAGGATTGAACTCTTAACCTTCTGAGTGGGAGGCAAGCGTCTTGACCACTAGGCCACTACCCCGTTCGTTTTCCATCTTGTTTATACCTTAAGAAACTCTTCCTCTAATATTAGGTCTGTCTCGTCAGCAAGAAATTATAAAGACTGAAGATCGTTCTTGGTCTGTTTCTAGTGTGCGGTGCTGTCATGCTCACCAATTTCGTATAATTTTCAAGTAATCAGATAATATATCTCAGCTGCAAGTTTCTTAGCAGCTACATATGTTGATTTTGGGTGTTTTTATTGTTCTCTGTTGTTTTAAAATGCTTTTAGCGTTTTAATCGTAATCTGTTTTTGGAATTGTAAGCCGCTCAGAGTCATTGACTAAGAGGGGTGGCTATAGAAATTGAATAAATAAATAAATTAAAAATTAAAATATCCCTGTGGCCATCAGGTGTACCCCCTAACTGGTCTGGTTGAAGGCGGCACCAGAATCACCATCACGGGTTCAAACCTTGGGCAGAAGCATCAAGATATTGCAGAGACTGTCACAGTTGCTGGAATCCCCTGTGAAGTTGATGCTCTGGTGTATGAAATCTCCAGCAGGTAAGGTCATGGCCTATGGGCTCACGGCAATAAGAACGGCCCCGTTCTATGGCATAGCTGGTAACGGGTGAACATGTCTGTCCTTCTCCCTTTAAGCAGATGGTGGCCTTTCCATCAGCAGCAGCACCATCTTACTTACCACTAGCTGCTTCTATCCAACTGGTGAGGGTGGAGGAGGATTATCATGGGCTACTGGGGTTCATAGGATCAGCTTTATTGGCAGGAGGAAGACTACAAGGAGGATCCGGCAGTGACAGGCTGAAATTAGAAGCTCTGGCAGATTAGTATGAAGTTTAAAACGTGTGTTCACACAAACCTACAGGTCTAACCAAACCTAGCAGATGCAAGGAAACCAAAGTGACCTCCCTTCCAAATAAAGAATGCCAGTTGCTATATCAGACACTTTTCTCTAATTCCTATTTTACAAAGTACTGGGAATTGTAAAGCAGCGAAGATAGGGCACCTACTTGACTCCAGGGTTTCTTTGTCCCAAGTCAATGTTGAGACATGTACAGACTTGATGCTTCTGCCATTTAAGCTACTTCGTCTGTGAACTCACTTGTGACATAATATCCTGAATGCAGGACAAGAAGCCATGGATGGAAACTAATTAAGGAGAGACGCAACCTAGAATTAAGGAGAAACTTCCTGACAGTTAGAACAATTAACTAGTGGAATGACTGGCCTGCAGGAGTTGTGGATGCTCCAACACTGGAAGTTTTTAAGAAGAGATTGGACAAGCATTTCTCTGAAATGCTTAGGGTTTCCTGCTTGAGCAGGGAGTTAGACTAGAAGACCTCCAAGGTCCCTTCCGACTCTATTATTCTGTTATATCCATAAAAGCAGGAGAAAGAAAACCCTTGATTGTGGCTGCTGTTTGCTCCCATTGGGACAAAGAAGGAAAGGTTGGTCATGGGTGGGGAACCTGTAGTTCTCCAGCTATTGGTAGACTGTAATTATTTACAGCAATAAAGAACTGGACTCCAGCAGCATCTAGATAAGATAGTTTCAATCTTGGCAACTTTAAGATGGGTGGACTTCAACTCCCAGGATCCCCTAGCTAGCATAGAGTTGAAGTTGATTGGAAGTCTACCCGAGACGCCACTCTAGAAGAATAAAGACCTAAATGGCCATGTACGCTGACTTTGGATACTTTAGCTCTTGAAACTGCAAGCTTCAGTTTTTGTAATGAAACCCACCTGCAATAACTTAGGAGAATTGTCTTGAATAAATAGGCCACTACTTTGCTGACTGATGTCTCTGACAAAGGTGTGCTTTGAGAGATCCTGTATAATTGAAATCTAGGGAACCAGATGAGGCAAAACACATGTTTGAACATAGAAGGGGATTTATCACATGAAAGATGGGCGACTGAATGCAGTGTATTGGATCAAGGAGTTGAAAGGCACCCAGAGTCCACCCCATTCATCTTTATGCTGTGCATTTGGTCATCACAAACACACACGTTTGCATTGCCAAAAAGATTTATTTGCCAAGCTCTTGGCTCGAGGAAGTGATCCAGGTCCCAGACTGTGGAGGAAAAACATTTGCTCAACAGGATAAGTCTTCAGGTGGGTGACGTCTCCTCCCCCCACCAGGCCAAGAGCCTAAAAGTGCCCCCCCCTCTCATTAACTCAGGTTTAGAGCAGCCCATGTGGTGCACCTTGGTGGGGGATTCTTCTCCATCCTCTCTTCTGCCCTTGTCCTGCAGTATCGTATGCACCACGGGCAGAAGCGGCACAGAGAGGTCCGGGCATGTGGTCGTGGAAGTCCCTGGAGGTGGGCAAGGCATCTCTGCTCATGTATTCACCTATCAGGTAAAATAAGTCTACAGCTCAAAAGGAGGGGGTGACTTCCAGGAAAAAGCAGACGACTCTCTCTACTTGACCGAAGCCCTACATGATGCACATGGTGCCATTAATGCACTTAAATCCCAGGATCTTTGCAAGGGGCTCTTGATGTTCTCTTAGCTTGGTTGTGTTCTTGTGGATGTTCCATTACCAAACTAGGTAACTTCTTCCGTGCTCACTGATGATGTTATCTAGTTTGGTAATGAAACGTTTGGGAGAAAAAAATGTCTATGGAGTTTCTCAATCATCCAGGTCATGGTTGTCCCAAAAGATGCTTTTTTCAAGAGGCGACTGGACTTCCTTTGTTTTTCCTTGAAGACCTTTCACTTCCCATCCAAGAAGCTTCTTCAGTTCTGATTCAGGGAGAGCAGAAGAAGCTTCGTGGATGTGTAGCTAAACATCTTCAAGAAAAAAACAAAGGAAGTCCTGTTGCCTTTTGAAAAAGCACCTTTTGGTTTGGAAAAAAAACCCACCAGGTTTTGAGAGCACCAAGGACCCCACAATTCAACCCTGAGTTATAAGTACTGTCTTCTATCTGTATATTTGCAAGGGTTAGGAAGCTCTCACCTAATGGAGACATATCCTATTGATGTGTCCAGAGCCATCAGTAATAGCCAGCCTACTAGTACTACTAGTTATTAACAAGTGGGGCATGGAGAAAATTGCCTATGTGCAAAGGGGTTCCACACAGTCATGTTTACCTGTTGAGATGGAACATCTTTCACACATGCAAAAAAATATTCTCATTTGTTGCATTCAGTAAAAATGGGTGAGCTTTATTAGATGGGTTTCTTTTTTTTGACTGTAGGCTGTTTTGGGAGTGGTTCATGATTTTTTTTTCCCTTTGTGTTTTACCATCTTTTATTTTTACTTTTAGTCTGGCCAGAGTTGTTGGGAGTTGAGTGGTTTGAAAAAAGTAACTTATGATCATTTTTCACATTTACAACCCTGGTGGCACCTCTGTGGTCACATGATCAAAATTTAGGGTTTCAGTTAAGGAGAGAGACTTCTGCTTTTCTTGGAACCATTGTCAAGCCCCCGAATTTTTATCACGTGATAAATGCAAGGACTGATTGTAAGTCGCTTTTTTCAGTGTTTTGTAATTTCAGTCATTCACTAAACAACTGGTTGTAAGTTGATGTCTCCCTGTACTGCTATGCTGGGTAGAACTGATAGAAATTGGTGTGCTAGATAGTTCAGAGGAACATAAATTCCCACTTCTCCTCCCACCTTGTGAAGCTTTCACATGGAACTGGTTCAATGAATGGGGTTAGATTTTCTTTTCTATGAACTGGATGGAGGGAGTTTGGTTTCCTGAGCAAAAATTGGCCCTGGAGCAACCAGGTCACCCTCAGTAATTTAGAGCAGCAGCCCCCAACCTTTTGGGCACCAAGGACTGGTTCTGTGGAGAGAGGTTTTTCCGCAGACCGAAAGGTGCATGGTTTTGCATTCTGCCTGCACCCACAGGTGGGGCTTCACCTGTTTGCGTGGCCCAGTTGCTGGCATGCCGTGGGCCAGTGCAGATCCACAGACTGGGAGTTGGGGACCCTGATTTAGAGGACCTCGTTATTCGATACACTGATGGTTTCAAGAGGACTAGCATCCTCACTCCTCAAGCACCGGCTTTTTTTTGTCTGTGCATCTTGCCTTTCCTGATGCAACTATTCTTTTCCTGCTCGTCTCTGCAGAATCCAGAGCTGAAATTCATTTCTCCAGTTCGAGGCCCCAAAGCGGGAGGAACCAGCCTCACGCTGACCGGGTCCAAGCTGCTGACTGGAAATCCCAGCAGAATCAGCATTTGGGTTGGACACTTCCCTTGCTACATGTAAGAAAGGGGGTCTGGCAGCAGCAACTTTTTCAGAATGGCTTCTTGTTTGGGGATGTAAGAATATGGCTCTGTCCGAGATGCACTTTGTTGGAATCCAGCTATTCCTCCCCATACTTGCATACAGTTATATGGTCATACACAGAGAGATATATGTCAGACACATACATGCATGATCAGAGACATGCTATGGGGTTGGACATCACCCTGGGGGGAGGGCTGCACAAATCCCTCCTTTTTAAGGTGGGTTGAAGATCCTCATCCACCCTTGTTCTCTTACATGAAAAACCAGGAGCGCTCAAATCTCTAGTCTGCCTGCTTTCTGGAAGTTTGGGGTTTCTTGACTTCATTTTGGCAAATTTATTAACCCAGTTTCTGAATTCTCCTTTTTCCATTCATGTACCTTTTCCAGTTCCTTTCTAGTTTGTCTGTCTATACGTGCATATATATTTGCCTGGACTGCATAGATTTTGCCAAATAATTTCCCCAGTGCATTTTGTACATTATTTTCATGAATATTTTGGGGTGGGATGCAAACAGGTTCTGTGGGCGTAGCTGGGTGGGCGTGGCTTATTTTTGCAATACACACACACACACCAAGCTCTGTTCTTTTTGCCTCCTGGGCCTCAGGGAAGCCTCCTGGGCAAAGCAATAAGACAGCAAGGGGGATCCCGGCACAGCTGATCACAAGAACAACTGATCGTTGGGAGAGAAAAAAAAAAGAAATACCAATTCAGCCAAACCGGTAGCTGTTTTTTTTACTACTGGTTCGCTTGAACCGGCCCGAACCGGTAGAATCCCACTACTGGAATATATGCAATTTGCTACAGACTTACTTCTGTATTATGCTTTTTTAAAGCAAAATTTATTTTTTTAAAGATATATTGGTTTTAAAAGATGCCAAATTAGATCTGTCTCATTCAGGCAAGAACTGAATATCTTTCTTCCCATATCCCTATCCGGCACTTCTAAGAAGGAGGTTTGATTTGCTCAGCCCCTTGTGATTCTTACTAGGTTCATATTCAAAAGTTTTGTTGTGATGAATGTAATATATTTGTGATAGGAGAAATTCACAACCTATTAAATCTGTTTTAGGTTGTCATCCTACACATAGTTGGGAATAAATCCTATTCAATCCAAGGAAATAATTCTGGATAGATAGGATTAGGACTACACATTGTTTAAAACTTTAATAAAATAAAATGGTTATCAAAATTGAAAACAAGAGTTTTGTGGCTTTCCAGACCCATTAGGACAGAACATGTGAAATGATGGAGAAGATTTACTTATACCAATTATTGTTTATTATGACACAATGCTTTTTGCACGATTGTTTTCCTTTATATGTCCCTAAGATCAAAAGTCTAGAAACTAAGGTTTTATGTGTAATAAAACATATCACTGAAGACTCAGAAACTTTTCATGAAAATGTTTTAATGTTTAATTAAATCAGGGAAAGGAGCCAGGGTTTCTCTGGGGACAGCATATATTTATTAAAGTCTCTTATAGCTCCCTCTCTTTCACTTCACACTGGCTGTGCATTTAGATGTGATTCGTTTTTATGGCAAGGTAGAATCTAGGAATATTCTCACAATTTATGGGTTGGGAAGAAAAGGCAAGTCTGTGAATTCAGTCTTCTCTTGGTGGCTCCTGGAAGATATTTTACAGAAGGCCACAGAGTGCCCAGTTTTGCCCACAAATACGATACGCCTTTTAAATTGTCTTTGAAAAAGTTTTATTGTTTTGTGCTATCGGTAGACTAAATATTTTCTAGAGTAAGTTTATATTTTTGTTTTGCTTTCCTTTTCTTCTAAAGCCATTCTGAGATGCAGGAACATGAGTTGATGTGCCAGACAAGCGCCAGTAATGTGTCTACAGAGTTTTCCATCACAGTCAAATACGGCGATCAAGAACGGAAGTTGGAGCATTCCTTCTTCAAATACACCCTTGACCCCAACATCACCTATGCAGAACCAGCCAAGAGTTTCCAAAGGTAACAGCAAATAGGACAGATCTGAGGCGAAGCTCTGTGGTTGGTAAATCCTGTCCCTTCTGCTTATGGATGACTAGGATTGATACTTTTAGAAGTCCAGTAGTGTCTAAAGAGGGACAGACCCCTATCCTATCTTATACTGAGGTATTTTAACATTTAAAGATTAAATGGCCTGCAGGTTTCTGTCATGCTGCCTATTGGTGTTTCCGAACCTACAGTGTGGAGGTACATCATGAGGACTATGCTAGCGGTTCCTGATATAGAGGCCAAAATAAAATAATAATTAAAACTAAAGCAAAATCTCAGAAGACAGTTGGGGCAAATCTAATGTGTTTTCAGTCATTTTCCAATTGTATATGTAAATGTAACGCTGAGGTCCAATAGATAGATACCATTTGAAGAAGAGCATGAGTGTCTGTATGCTACAATCAGTGGCATTGTAGGCATGAGGCAGTGATCCTCCAAATCTCTTGATGATGATGTTCTGGTCCACATAAAGAAGAAACTAATCTGATTCAAAAACTAGTCAGTCTTCCTGAAGAGAAAGCAGCCAGTGCAGGTTTTGTATCCCCCATTACAATTCCCCAGATCAGATCAAATTTTCCAACTAGTAGCAGTTCTCAGGAGTCAGATAGAGATGTTCTTTCAGCCAGTGTATCTAGAGTTGCCAGAGTTGTGTCCTGTTACCAACAAGATGGACCTCTGGATAAGCGTGATTGGAAAAGAGTTTCTACCACCCTTAATTTAGCATTCTGACCACTGCAGGGTAGTGGTTATCATCCAGTGCACCCACATATCTTCTCTAAAAAGCACCAATAATTGCACAAGCAGGCAGACAACTCTGTGAGCATCTGCTGTTGGACATCACATTTTTTTTCATAGTTGTTATGCTATTTTCAGGTGATTTCCCTTAAACCATGTAATAAGAATGTGGAATACAATAAGGTTATTAGAATAGAAATATAGGAGGCTGCCTTAATCTGTCTTTGATTATTGGTCCATTGAATTGTGAATTCAAACTCTAGAACAATTAATCAGTGGAACAACTTGACTCCAGAAGTTGTGGGCGCTCCAACACTGGAAATTTTTAAGAAGAGATTGGACAGCCATTTAACTGAAATGGTATAGGGCAGTGGTGGCTAACCTTTTTGGGCTCCTGTGCCAAAAATTGTGCGCGCGCTTGCATGCGCGCGCTCGTGTGCCAGCACCCAGAAGGTAATGCGTTTGGCCCCCCCATCCCCCTGTGCATGCACGCGCGATTCCCCCCCGCCACCCCCTTACCTGCACTGCGCCTCCCAGCTGATTTTCAGCCCATTTGAAGTCTTTTTCGGCCACCCAGAGGCTCGAGGGAAGCCTCTGCAGCCTTTGTAGGCCGAAAAAATGGGCCTGTTTCATCACTTCTGGTATTTCCGAAAATGCAGGAAGTGATGAAACGGGCTGAAAACCAGCTGAGAGGTGTGTGCATGCGCAGTGAGGTAAGTTTGCCTGGGGCTCACGTGCCAAACAAATGGCGTGCCATAGGTTCGCCATCACGGGTATAGGGTCTCCTGCCTGAGCAGGGGGTTACACCAAATCCAACATCCAAGCCTCGTCCAACTTTTTTGTTGTTGTCGTCGTCATCATTAGGACACAATCTGTTATTAACCCACAATCTGTTCGGACTACTGCTATTATTAGCCCCAAACAAGGCGTTGAGTGGCCATGAATTGTAGAAGTTGTACATTTAGACAGCACCAAGTTGCCACCTCCTGTTCAATGTTGCCTGATGAGGCAAATGTAAGGAATCACTCTGGGATTGTCTTTCGTTACTTTAATGCAGAGGTGGGCAACTATGGCCCCCTTAAGAACCTGTGTGCTTCAACTCCCAGAATTCCCGAGCCAAAATGAATGAATGGCTGGCTCAGGAATTCTGGGAGCTGAATTCCACAGCCAGTAAGGGGCCCACCGTTGCCCACCCATGTCTTAGCAAAAACAATCCCAAAACTTCAAATCCCAAAACTAAATGTGCTAAAACCTTCAACGTTTGTTCATCTGTATGCATTATTTCAGTGGCGGGCGAGAGATAAGAGTTCGTGGGCATAACCTCGATGTCGTGCAGTGGCCAAAAGTCCGTGTCACCATTTCACCTTTGGAGCGCCGACGTCGGGGAGTGGGAAGATGGCGAAGGATTATTCCAGAAACAGGATGTCTGGAGAACGCTCTCTGCAGTGTCCAGCAAGTAAGTGAGATTTTTTTTAAAAAAAATATCTCTCTTAGCCTTTTTCAAGTTAATTCTAGAGGGATCCCGGTTGGAGAATAAGAACTCTTCAGAGTCAAGAAGAATCAGGTGGATTGAAGAGAGTTCAAAAGTTTGGATATTATTCCAACAGCCAGAGCCATTTGGCTTCCGCTGTTGTTTCCAGCATGCCACGTATGGGGAAAGCAGCCATGTTCTATCCTGAAGGCATTCTTGAGATCACCCACATGCCAAAGACCAGTTCCCCACCTATCCAAAGAGCCAGGCTATAAAAAGCATGGATTTAAATTACAGGAAGGCAAATTCTTTATTGAGTGTTAGAAACAACTTCCCAAACAGTAAGAATACATTGACAGTGGAACCAATTACAGGTAGTCCTTGACGCACGACCACAATGGAGCCCCAAATTTCTGTTTTTAAACAAGACAGTTGTGAGTTTTGCCCCCACTTTATGGTCTTTCTTGCTACAGTTAAGGGAATCACTTCAGTTGTATAGGGTTTCCTTCCTAGGCAGGGGGTTGGACTAGATCTCCAAAGTCCTTTCCAACTATTCTAGTCTAGTCTAGTCTAGTCTATTTTCTATTCTATTCTATTCTATTCTATTCTATTCTAGTCTAGTCTAGTCTAGTCTATTTTCTATTCTATTCTAGTCTATTCTAGCCTATTCTATTCTAGTCTAGTCTAGTCTATTTTCTATTCTATTCTATTCTATTCTATTCTATTCTATTCTATTCTATTCTATTCTATTCTATTCTATTCATCTAGTTATTAAGTTAGAACCATGGTTGTTAAGTGAGTCTGGTCCTTCCCCACTGACTTTGCTTGTGAGAATTTCACAGAAGGTGAAGAGACACGGCAACAGTCATAAATCTGAACCAGGTACCAAGTGTCCAAATTTTAATCATGTGACCACGAGGATGCTGAAATCAGTCATAAAACGGTCATTTATTTCAGGGCCATTGTGACTCCAAATTGTCACTAAATGAATGGTTGTAAGATGAAGTCTACCTGTAAGCTCCATTTTTTTTGCCTCCTGGGCCTCAGGGAAGGCTCCTGGGCCAAGCAGTAAGACAGCGAGGGGGATCCTAGCACAGCTGATCATCAGAACAGCTGATTGCCAAGAGGGGAAAAAATAAAAAGAAATACTGCTTCGACCGAACTGGTAGCTGTTTTTTTACTACCAGTTCGGCCGAACGGTAACATTTTTTTACTACTGGTTTACCCGAACCTGGCCGAACCAGTAGAATACCACCACTGGTCATAAGTCACCTTCTTCATTGCTGTTGTAACTTTGAACGGTCACTAAATGAACTGTTGGAAGTCGAGGACTACCTGTACAACTCTCCCATGCAGTATAATTCCCAGCCAGTTTACACCTCTCTGGAACTTAAACCTTCTCAGCTAGCAGCAATCTGCCATTTTGTATGTTTCGAGTCATCAAAAATAAATGTACTGTTTTTAGATTTTTGTTTATCCCACCTTTATTATTTTTATAAATAACTCAAGGCAGAGAACATTCCTAATACTCCTCCCTCCGTATGCCCCATAATAACAACTTTATGAGATGGTTTGGGTTGAGAAAGAGGTGAGTGGCCTAGGGTCACCCAGCTGTCTTTCATGCCTGAGGAAGGACTAGAACTCACAGTTTTCTGGTTTCTAGCCTGGTGCCTTAATCACTACACCAGACTAGCTCTGTTGAAGCAAAACAGCCAAAAAGAATCAACCAAATGTGAGTCTCATTTTTTTTAAAAAAATTGTCCATTGTTTAAATATATCAACAGTACCTTTTTACTACTAGATTTATGTGATTTTTTTTCCTTTGCATGACTTACTGCAAATTGTATTAATTTTTATTTTATTTGATTTATTTTCAAAACTCATATTCATTTACATTTTAATAGTACTGTGTCAAGCCTTACTTACATTTACACTTCTTTTTCATATCAAACCTTGTTTCTCTTCTCTAACCATATATACAACATTTCCCAAACCTCATAAAACTCAGACTCCTCTTTACCTTTCAATTTCCTCATAACCCTATCCATCTCAGCACAATCAAGTATCTTATTTATTACCGTATTCTCGGTGTTTCCTGTTCCTGTGCAAGAAATGTATCCCATTGGCTGTCAGACTCCCAGGGGTGGGAGGGTCTTAGCTAACTTTGTAGGCTTTGTCTGGACCACATGCCTTCACCTGAGTGCTGGCTGATGCAATCTTTCCAGGTGAGATGGGTAGAGGCCTTTGTTATGTAGAATACTCTGGCCCAGGCCTTATTAATGGCCCACCCATTAACAAAGGTGAGGGTGAGCTTCTGCTTCTGAGTTTCCACTTTTCAGGGGAAATATTCTGCCTTTTAAATATTTCCTAGGATATTTCATTTTTCTAGGAGAGGGGTGGGTGGTAACTTCCTACAAAAGAAAAGCAAAGAAAGTCCAGACCATTGAAAAAAGCACCTTTGGGACAACCATGGCCTGGATGACAGAGAATTTCCATAAACATTTGTCAAACAAAACATTTGTTTGCAGGAATGGACACTTTAGAATAGATAGAATTCTTTATTGGCCAAGTGTGATTGGACACACAAGGAATTTATCTTGGTGTAAATACTCTCAGTGTCCATAAAAGAAAAGATACATTCGTCAAGAGTCAAGAATCATCAGGTACAACACTTAATGATAGTCAGAGGGTACAAGAAGCAATCAAATCATACTAGGAAACAGTCAATATAAGGTATCTCATTTACTTTCCAGCTCTGGGCATATGCAATTCTTGCCGCTATTATTATGTATTGTACGATATATTGGATATCTTTCTTTAAATTTCCTTTAATCATCCCCAATAAAAATGTTTTTGGTTTAAATCCGATATCATACCCTGTAATTTCTTGTATCCATTTCCTCAATTTTTCCCAGTATTTTTTAGCTTTAGGGCATTGCCACCACATATGATAATATGTTCCATCTGTAAGCTTACATTTCCAGCATTGCAGTTTCATATTTGGATATATTCTGGGCAATCTCGCCAGTGTCAAATGCCATCTATAAAACATCTTGATTAAATTTTCTTTAAATGCTGTTGATAAAGTTAATTTGCAGTTCTTGATCCAAATTCTCTCCCAATCCTCTAGCTGTATACTCTGTCCTACATTTTGTGCCCAAGCAATTATTGGGCCCTTAACTACTACTTCTTCCATTTCTACTTTAAGTAAATAATTATATGTTCTAGTGATAACTTTTTCTTCTTTACCAATCAAAATTTGGTCTAGTTGTTGGGGTTCCCTTTCTATTCCAAATTCCTCCATGTCTTTTTTATGTCTCATTCTTATCTGCAAATACGGCCACCAATCCACAATTATACCTTGTTTTTTTTAGTTCTTCAGTTGTTTTTAAATTCCCGATTGTCTAATAATTCCTTGTATCTAATTCTCTTTTTCTTCTCCATTGTATTTGGGTAGATCACTGCTTGCATCCGGTGACACCCAATCCAGTAATTTAATATAGTGCTTCTTCCTTAACTTTTCCCATATTTTTATTAATGAGTCCCTAATTTGATGGCGATAGAAATATGAATGTATCCTTTCCTGTTTATCCCACAGGAAGGCATGCCTTCCTGTGTGAAGGTCATGCCCTTCAATTATTAATACTCTCTTATTGTCTAGGTTTATCCAATCTTTAATCCAGAGTAATCCCGCTGGCTGATAATATAGTTCCCATTTTGGGAGTCCTAGGCCACCTCTACTTCTGCTATCTTGTAGCGTTTTTGCGTTAATTCATGCTTTCTTTCCCAACCAAATAAATTTAAGCACCGTTCTATTCAATTCTTCAAAGAATTTTTGATCTAATTTTATGGGGATTGTCTGAAATAAGTATAACAATTTTGGTAGTATATTCATTTTTATCGTGGCAATTCTGCCCATCGACAATAATTGCAACTTTTTCCAGCTCTCTAAATCTTTTTTGCATTGTAACATCAATTTCTTATAATTATCTCCCCTTATGGTCGAACATTGTCCTGTTAGCCAAATCCCCAAATATTTAATCATTTTTTCCACTTTTAGTCCCAATTCTCTTTTTAACCCCTTCTTTTGTTTTTCTGTTGAATTCTTTCTGTTGAATTCTTTCTGTTGAATTTTTGTTTTTTCTTTATTAATTTTTAGTCCTGCCACTAGTCCATATTTGTCAATTTCCCTTAACAAATTTATCCCTGTTTCCATCGGTTCCTCGATGACGAACACTGAATTGTCCTCAAATGCTTGGGTTTTATATTCCTGATTTTTGATCTTTAATCCGGTTATTTCCTCATTTTGCCTTATTTTGGTTAGAAGCACTCCTATCTCAATCTATTGTGTTTAAAGACTTGGGTATAGGAATGGGCTCTGGAAAAAAGTATGGAGAGCTACCTCAGGAATTTCTCGGAAATAAAAATATCTTGAAAACAATAGCTTTGGAACTGTGGAGAATTAATTATAGTCATTAATTTCCCTTCATTTCTGATCCTAGTTTGAAGAGCCATGTCAAGTCAATTCCTCCAACCTTATAGTTTGCAAGACACCAGCAATTAAGCCGTTGTCCCACTCCATTCAAGTAAAACTGGAGTTTGTCCTGGATAATCTCAGCTTTGACTTCAATGCCTTTCATCCCTCTGGCTTTTCTTATGAAGTTGACCCCTTCCTGAAGCCCCTCAATACAGACGACATCACCAAACCCTACCGTCACAAACCTGGAAGCATCATCTCTGTGGAGGTAAACAGAACAACTTGTTCTCCATAAGTGGAGGCAATGTTTCTTCTTGGGTTATTGGCTGTGATTATCCTGTATTATGTAGGATACTGCTCTTACGGCTGAGATTCAGCCATTTAATTTTAATTTTTAATTTTTCTAATTTCTGAACCGCCCATCTCTCTCAGAGAGGGAGACCGGACGGTGTAGAACAAAATATTAAAATTTAAAAGTATATACAAGTTTTTAAGTAGTATTTATTTATTTACAAATAAACAACTGTATATGCATTTCCATATGCAATTGATCCATTCGTTAATTTACATTGCACATTTCCTTATGGGGATAAAGCTAGTCTTCTGTCCACTCATTTTTCCCCCCACAGCTACAAACCTGAGAGAGAAATGTCAGGCTGAGGTAACTCAAAATCAGCTATTAATTTCTATAGCTGATGGTGGCTGGAATTGGGATATGCCTTGTCCTAGCCAACACATCTTACTGAACACTGATGAGCCAAGTAAAGCTGGAATAATATTATTTTTTCCGATTTACAAATAATCTGCCTCAGGCTTGGACATTCTGTATAACCCCTGGGAATAATAATACAAGATACTGCAAACCAGCGACCCCCCCAATCTTTTGGGCATCAGGGACCAGTTCTGTAGACGGAGGTTTTTCCACGGACCGGAGGGGGTGTGGTTTTGTATGCTGCCTGCATCCCGCGGATGGAGGTTTGCTTGTTTGCACGGCCCAGTTTCTGGCATGCCACAAACCAGTGCCGGTCTATGGACCAGAGGTTGGGGACCCCTGCTGTAGACCTCCTCTACTTGCATAAACCTGGCAGGGATGATTTTTACATTTTTTTTCTCGCCTACAATTCCCTTTAGCACTAATCTCTGAATTGGGGGTGGAAAAAAATGGATGAAAAGAAAATCTTAAATGTAGAGGGTGTTGAAAACTTATATGGCTGCAGGCATGGATGAATTAACCAGAGAAGAATTAAAGTATGGGTGTGATTAAAATATGGATGTGGTTTGTTTATAGGGAGCTAGAAACTTATGTAATATGTACATGAGGGGTGCATCTCTGCCTGATGACTGGAGAAATGCCACTATTGTTCCTTTATACCAGTGTTTTTCAAACTTGCTGGCTGGAGAATTGTGGAAATTGAAGGCCATTCATCTTAAAATTGCCAGCTTTGAAAAACACAGCTTTATTCAAGTGGAAAAGTAGGAAGAACAAATGCTAACACTACGTGGAGCTTGGCTTGCGGATGTAGCCTGGGAATGTTTGACAGAAGTCTGGTTTAATGGATAGAAGGATGACAACGAATAATATTTGGGAAATGAAGTGGGATTCTGCACCTGGTGGGGGAAACATAAGCCAATTTTTTACTCTTTGTAAGGCTTTGAGAAATGTGTGAATATGAGAAAGAAAGATTAATAGAGAAAAAGTTTAACTGTCAGAAAATGAATAATAAAACAAACACGTTTGAGGTAGAATGTATTTTGTATGGAGTTCAAATTGAGTTATAGAATGTAATAAGCTATGATGGAACTGGAGCATGTTTGGTAATAATTGGAATTCACAGAGACATAGGGTCCTCAATCTCTCTCCAGCATAGAAATGTAACTGGAACTTGCCTGCCGCCCCTAACAAGCTAGTGATTATTTTATTTTTATTTTTGTTTATTTATTTGTAAACTGGAAATGAATAGACCAGGGCCCCTCAAAATAGACAGTGCTGTATTGTTGGGACAATGCAAGGTGTCGATACTCTTGTTTTTAGTATTATTCATAGTATAATAATATATTATAATAATATATAATAATAAGTCAAGTAGCATTTGTTAAATTATTTCATATAAATGTTTGGAGGTGAGCAAACAATCTGAAACTTCATAAAGGAGTTGATGAGCTGTCAGGAAGCTCATTGGTGTTGGTGTAGAATAACCAAAGGAACTTTTTCAAAAAGAAAGTGGACTTTGTTTTTCCTTGAAGATATTTCGCTTCTCATCCAAGAAGCTTCTTCAGTTCTTTAAATCCTTACATCCTCAACCATTCAGTCAGAACTAAAGAAAGTTTCTTGGATGACAATCGAAACATCTTCAAGGAAAAACAAAGTCCACTTGCTTTTTGAAAAAGCACCTTTGGAACAACCATGAACTGGATAACGGAGAATCTCCACTCGCATGGTGTGTAGAGTAACTTTTCACAAGGGTTCTCTGTTCCTCCAGGGAGAAAATCTAGATCTGGCCATTTCTAAAGATGAAGTAAAAGCCATGATTGGAGTTGGGGTCTGCTCAGTCAAGACCCTAACGAAGAACCACCTGTATTGTGAGCCTCCTACTGAACAACCAGCTCCTCAACACCGGGCTAAACGGGAAGGTACCGACTCACTGCCAGAATTTACGGTAAGAAATAGTCTAGGACAGGGTTCCTCAACCTTGGCTACTTTAAGGTGGGAGGACTTCAACTCCCAGAATTCAACTCCCAGAAGTTGAAGTCTACCCATCTTAAAATGGTCAAGGTTGAAAACACTGGTCTCGGGATATTGAGAATTAAATTCAATCCAGAATGGGAAACTTGGTTTAAGAACTTGGTGTTTTGCTTTAAAAATTGCAATGATGTTGCAATGAAATTGCAATCCATTCCCGGGGGTGGGGAGAAATGAGCATTTTGGGTTATTGGTTTCTTCCTTCTCCATCAGCAACTTTGAGGTATGTTGAATGGGTGTCCAACTTTTTGGCTTGCCTGGACTGAATTTAGTGAGGAGGAATTGTCTTGGGCTGCATCTAAAATATATAATATAATTAATGCATATAAGCATTGCTAAAATCACATAAGAATGTTAAAAGTTTACAAACTTGTGGGGCTGCGTTACTAGCTGTCCAGGACTTCCTGAGGCTCACGGGCTGCAGGTTGCACACCTTGTCTATCAGATAAAGGATCTGAAATTCTTGTCAATAAAATGAAAGTTCAGAAAATAATATCAAAAGGAGCCAAAATAGGACGGGTGGCTAGCTGTGATGCTTGAGATATTGTGATGGGATGTAGTGAGGAGGTGGATCCCCAGGAGGGAGGGGGCGCATTCCAGAGGAGTAACTCAGCCCAGATATTATGTGAGAGAGAAAGAGGGTGAAAACAACCCCTCCCTAATAGTTCACAGAGTATATTGTAGACGCAGACAGTGGAGTGTTCAGTCTGGCACGATTCTGTCTATAGGCACGAAAAGAACTCAGCAGGGGAGAATTGCCACATGTCATTCTTAGTTTTGAGCCTGACAGAAATATTACATTTGTCCAGGGTGATGCAATACGTATCTCCCAGGCCGTTGTATTTACATGTTTGTCCTCCTGCAGGTTCAAATGGGGAACAAGAACTTCTGGCTCGGTCGTGTGCAATATGACACAGAGAGTCAGCTCACTTTCCCCCTGGAGGCCCAGATTGGCTTGGGAGTGGGGACCTCTTTTGTGGCTTTGATTGTACTCATCATCGTCTTCATCTACAGGTGAGAAGAAGGTGGTCAATTGTGGTCGTACGTCGAGGGCTACCTGTATATTCTCCAGTGAAGGGGGTACCTGCATAAGATTTGGGAAGAAAGGGAACAGCATCGTTTTATTTTTTATTTTTTTTCGTTATAGACGGAAGAGCAAGCAGGCCCTGAGGGATTACAAAAAAGTTCAAATCCAGCTCGAAAATCTGGAAACAAGTGTTCGGGATCGGTGCAAAAAGGAATTTACAGGTACTACTTCTGATTCTAACCTTTCTTACAGTCACAGGTCAGAATTAAAAATAAAAAAATAAAATAAAAGAACAGAACAGAACAAAACAAAACAAAATTTAATATGACATTACAATTAGTGGTGAGATTGCCGATGACTGGCCAAAGTCTGCCTCATTTTATAGACATGATAATAGAATTTAACTTCATTCAAAGAAATTGCCTCATACTGATCTGATAGTAACAGCTGTATACATAAATTTCCCAGATATTTTACCAGGTAAGGAGTTATGAGTCCATGAATCCTTATAGAGGGAACAATACAACAGCATATGAGCTGCAGTTTCAATGGCCTCTTGTCCATAAAAGCATAGTCTCAGGTCATATGGAACTATTTCATGTTGGCCCTCCAGAACTGCTGTTGAAGAGCATTACAACAGAATTAGTGCCCTTCGAAATTAGCTAGAGTTAGTGCCCTTCGAAATTTAGAAATAATGATACAATATAGGTATCTTGCTGGTTTACGATGGGGGTCTCAAGGAAATGTTCTTGAGTACAGCAGATAGATCCTGTTGGGTTTCCTGGCCTTTAATACAGTACATTGTTTTAAATGGGGACAGTAAGACAACTTAATGTGGCCAGCTCACCATGGACATCTTGCCAAGGCCAACTTGACATGGCCAACTCGCTGTGTGATGATCCACATGGGATAACTCAATGTCATAAATGTTATCCGCCACTGTTCCTTCCTCATTATTTCCATTTTTTTGTCAATGAAAATAATGTTGAAGAAACCTTGGCGGATAACATTTATCGCGTTGAGTTATCCCGCATCGAATTTTCCCACGGTGAATTCTCCCATGGTGAGTTGGCAGTGACAAAATAGTAGTGAGACGGTTGCGGCAAGTTGGCTATGGCGAGTTGCCCCATTCTGTTAAATGTACCGAGTGCACGTCATAGCTGAAGATGGCATGTTCACTCGGTTCCTGATATAAGGCAGAAACATTTTCAGTTTTCTACGTTTATCACACACACACACACACAGACACACACACTCTTCTCAGGCCACTTCCACATGTCTTGTGTGATTCCCTCTCTTTCTAGACCTCATGACTGAAATGATGGATCTCACCAGTGACCTGGTTGGCACTGGGATTCCTTTCTTGGATTACAAATCCTATGCGGAACGGATCTTCTTTCCGGGCCACAGGGAGTCCCCACTGCAGAGGGATCTCGACGTGCCTGAATCTCGGAGGCAGACGGTTGAACAAGGCCTGGTGCAGCTCTCCAATCTCCTCAACAGCAAGCTCTTTCTCACCAAGGTACGTTTTAAATAAAGAATCGGATCGAATTAACCGTGTAAAACACAGTTCTAGCATGGCAGGATCCAAAGGCGTAACAAAATAGGTTAAAAGGTTACATTCAGTGTGGGTTTCCATAATAATGCCCAGGCTTGTTTTAAGGCCTGCGGATTGCACTCAAAGAACATACTAAAACTTGTTTGGTTTCAATTCTTTTTTTAATTGCCTTGGCACATTGTGCGAATCCAGCCTGCTTGTTGAATTTTTCAGTATAATTGTACAAATGCAGAAGATGGGTAACCCAGTGACAAAGTTAAATGGTGTTGTTCAAAGTCAGTGGATGTTCACTACATGAAGCATAAAAGCAATTTCCTGGTCACCAGGGTAGAAAAAATATTGGAAAGCCTATTAGCAGTTATTAAAAAAATGTTTTAAAAAAGAATCTCCTGAGCATCTGACTGTTACTTAGTGCAACTTTTTATTTTAAAAGTTTTATAACAAAAGCCTGTTGCTCTTATAACAAAAGCCAGTTTTTCGAAGTTCCTACTTGGGTGGCCAAGATTCTACATCCCAGCGGTTGATTCTGTCTACACAGTCATGTGACTATACTCGTTTGAGAACTGGGCCGCATTTATGGCCGACCGCAACATCCTAAAGTCATGTGACAATATTTTCCACCGTATTTACTTCTGATTTTTGGAAAACCCCCCCCCCCCCCCCATAACAAACCATTGATTTGCTAAACAACCGTGATATTCACTTAACCACATTTTATGCCATAGTCATAAAATCAGGTTAGTCCTGTCATCAACCTGATTTACAACTGTCTCATCTTATGACCCATGATGGGCAGGCTCCATTGTGGTTGTACGTTGAGGACTACCTGTAATAAGTTATTTGTAAAAATAATAAAAAGCGGGATACAAAATAACAAAAATGAACAGGTTCTGTCGGTGGAGGAGCAGAAAGAGGTTGGAGGTTGGAGAAAAATCTCTGTTTAGAAAATGCAAGCTTGTCCAGACCGCATGTATTCTTTCATTTGCATATAATAAGACATGGAATTTTTGGCTTTATTTATTTCTGCTGAGTTTTTTTTTTTCTTTTTTGCTTGTCTTAACTTTTTATGGAGGTCACTACCAATCAATTAAAATGCCTATTCTGCCCCCCGCCCACCAAAATAATTGCTTAATTGCAATGCCAACTTAGATCATCTTCCTTTTTTTCTAGTTTATTCACACCTTGGAAATCCAGCGCACCTTTTCTCCAAGGGACCGGGCTTATGTCGCCTCACTTCTCACAGTCGCCTTGCATGGGAAACTTGAGTACTTCACAGATATCCTCAAGACTCTCTTGAATGACCTGGTAGAGCAATATGTGGCCAAGAACCCAAAGCTGATGCTGAGAAGGTGAGGGTCAAGGTCAGAAGAAAATCCCGGGGGAGTTAGACAAATCGAGGAAGGGTCCATGCATCGGGGTTGCTGCTTATGATAGTTGAGGGATACTATCAAATTTGGGGGACAATACAATGAGGAAATTTTATTGTCCTTGTTCCTGATATGCAGATTTTTTTTGGTAAGCATCTGCCGTGTTCCTCCAACAATACGGCCTCCCCCAGTAGGAAGTCCCAGCATGTTTTATAGGCATAAAATCAAATTAAGCCCCTCCCCGCAAATTAAGGCTTATATTAAACATGCGAAATGGGGGGGAATGCCTTTAGGAAGTACTTTTGTTGCATACACGGATATGGTGCTGCCTGTGTTGACTTCGGCATTGGTGGGGCACTTCATATCGGGAGACCTTCCGCCACTGTTGCTTTCCCTTCTCCCCGTGCTGCTGAGGCGTTTAGAGCAATGCCGCAGCGTTTGGTGCAGCCACGCAGCGTTTGGCGCAGCCACGCAGCGTTTGGCGCAGCCACGCAGCGTTTGGCGCAGCCACGCAGCGTTTGGCGCAGCCACGCAGCATTTGGCACAGCCATGCAGCATTTGGCGCAGCCACGCAGCGTTTGGCGCAGCCACATGCAGCCAGCCAGGGCTCCTCCCTACAACCGGAGCCCGGCGGAGACACTCGGCTTCAGGTGCTCCTGTCGCCGCCTTCCCTTCACCTTCGAAGGCAAAGCCAATTCTTTTAAAAACGATGTCCTACTACTGGTATGACAAAGCCTCCCCTGCCCGAGAGGGCAGCCCAACCCCACGTGGGGAGGCGAATCTCTCGGGGCCGCAGCACAGGATCGGCCCTCCCTGGGAGAAGCGCCTAGCCGCCATCCCTGTCCACGGATGGGTAGGCGCTATCACTGCCTCGGGTAGCCTCTCCCGGTGGCCCCTTCGGGTTTGGGCTGGAGGGACTTGGGAAGGAAGCCAAACTCGGGTTGGCCCGGCTCTTTCGCTTGGCAGGCGGGCGCGCACCCGTGGCTCACTTTCCTGGCTCTGCCCAGCCTGCACGGCTCTGGCGCGGCCCTGGTGGGATGAGCGGAGGGCCCAGTGGGGAGGCACTTGCTGCCTTGGCGAGAGCTCCGTCACCGGGCAGGAGGGCCCATCTGTCAGCTTCGCTGGGCACCCCAGGTGAAGCTCTTCACGCTCTGCCTGGCGCCAGGCAGGGATGGAGGCTGGGCGCTTCTCCCGGGGTGGGGCAATCCTGCGCTGCGGTCCCAGGAGATTCGCCTCCCCACGTGGGGTTGGGCTGCCCTCTTGGGCAGGGGAGGCTTTGTCGTACCAGTAGTAGGGCATCGTTTTTAAAAGAATTGGCTTTGCCTTCGAAGGTGAAGGGAAGGCAGCGACAGGAGCGCCTGAAGCCAAGTGTCTTCGCTGGGCTCCGGTTGCAGGGAGGACCCCGGGCTGGCCATGCGTGTCTGCGTCAAACGCCGCGGCGTTGCTCTAAACGCTGCGGCAGCACGGGGAGAAGGGAAAGCAACGGTGGTGGAAGGTCTCCCGATATGAAGTGTCCCACCAACGCCGAGGTCTTCATCCAAGCCGTCACCACCCGCCCGCCTGAGGATGCAAGAGTGGGGGGGAAATTAAGTCACCCCCGAAAAGACGGCCTAGCCATTTTTTCGGGGGTCAAAAAAAAAAAAGGCCCGGCCTTATTTTGTGAGAAACACAGTAGTATAACTTTGTGAAACACAACATTGGATCCAAGAGGCCTTTGCTCCTCTTTCTCAGATCGAATAACCTTCTTTTGATTGCTGGCTCATATGAATAAACTTGGTCTGAAGACTTGCTGTACAGAAGGCCATCATAACTAAATCAGAACAAGAATATTTAGCCCAGTTGCCAGCAGAGATCAGCCAAAATGCTTAGCTGTGGCCAAGAAGGCAATACTCCGTTCCCAGTATTTGCCAACTAGTGCAATGGCCCACTAAGAAACAATGGCATATCACTTCTTGATATGGGAATGGAGTAAAGATCTTTTCAGTGGGGGCGTTCTGGTAGAATCCCTTTCACAAGAAGCTGACAGTGTTCACCTCTCACAAGAGATGTAGGTAGGTTTTTTTTTAGAGAACTGAATTTGCCTACCTTCTCAGTTTTAGTTTTTAGTTTTTAATACCCTTCCTTCTGGAATTGAAGAACAATACACAGTGGGGTCAAGGTTGAAACAACTTCAACTTCTCTTTCAGGACAGAAACTGTGGTTGAGAAGCTGCTGACTAACTGGATGTCCATCTGCCTCTACGCATTCGTCAGGGTGAGACATTCATCAATTCCATTTTACGTAGAAGGTCAACATATATAACATGTGCTTCTCAGCCAGGTAGCCGCATAAACCTCTGCTCTAATGCCAAGGACCCCTTCATTCTCAGCTGTTGGGATCTTGATGGAGGAGTACAGAAGACTTAGTGAGAAATCCAAGACTCCAGTGTCCTCTTGTGCATTAAATATTGCTAAAGCAGATGAATAAGAGTATGTGCTGGCTCTGGATCAGGAACAAGACATTCTAGCCAAGGTTTTTGTTTTTTAATTAGTGACATGATGACATACTGGGAACGGTCAGAAATAGGAATCTATACCATGCCTGCTTTTGGCACCCTATTGCTTAAGTTGAGCCCAGACATCTTTAATACTTCTGCAAGCTGGCCAACTGCTGACTAAAACAGATTTGCTTATCTTATGAATTGAATGTCGAATGTCCTTCTGAATCTTTCAGGGTTTTCAGACCCAAGTGATGCTTTTCCTAAGGTCCATCATTTTATAATATACTAGCAGGGTCCCCTTCCTTCGCTGTGAAACTATGTGATTGGGCAAGTTTTGGGGGAGGGAAATAAGGAAAAAAAATTGTGCCTCTGCCTTCCGGCATCCATCGGTATTCATCTGGTTTGCATCCTGTCAGTGTGTGAGAGAGTTCAGGGCTGTTTGGAAAGTGAAACAGTATTTGCTGTGTGAGTAAGAAGGAGACAGCAAGGAGCCTGGACATGGCTTAGCTCCTGTTCTATACTAAAGCTGCTTGGTGCTCTGCAGTGGTGGGATTCATTTTTTTTTTACTACCGGTTCTGTGGGCGTGGCTTGGTGGGCGTGGCAGGGGAAGGAGACTGTAAAATCTCCAGTCAGAGGTGGGATTTGCCGGTTCTCCGAGCTACTCAAAATTTACACTACCGGTTCTCCAGAACTGGTCAGAACCTGCTGAATACGACCTCTGGCTCTCAGTGCTGTGAAACTAAAACTGAAACTACACTCCTCTGCTTGTGTTTTGCATTTGGAACAGATTTTTTTTTCAGGTGGAGAGGGGGAGTAGAACTCCTTAGCATAAGAGCATGTTAATAATAATATACAAGATACGAATGCTCTGATGGTCATTTCAAAAAATCCTTTCTTAGTGAGCACCTAGAAGCCAAGAAGAACATACGTGCCAAATTTCAAGTTTTTAAGCTTTATGGCTCTGGAGATTTTGTGATGATGCGTGAGTGGTATTTCACTTTTATATAGAGAGATGTTCATGGTACTAATGTTGCACATCAGACTGGATTTATTTGCCAGATGAAAGTTAAAATTTGGCACTGTACCTGGCCAAAGACTTCTGTCATCCACTGATCTATTTCTTATATATAACTAAAAGGTTGGAAATGCAAGGTGGAAACTAGATGCTCTAGATCAGTGGTGGCTAACCTTTTTGGGCTCCTGTGCCAAAAATTGCACTCGCACTCACTTGCGTGGGCTCATGTGCCAGCACCCAGATGGCAATGCACATGGGCCCGGCCCGCCCCCTGCACATGCACACGCGATCCCCCTGGCCCCTTACTTCACTGAGCATGCGCACACCTCCCAGCTGATTTTTTGGCCCATTTGAGGCCTTCTTTGGCCTCCCAGAGGCTAAAGGGAAATCTCTGCAGCCTTTGGAGGCTGAAAAATGGGCCCATTTCATCACTTCCGGTATTTCCGGAAATACAGGAAGTGATGAAATGGGCCTGTTTTTCAGCCTCCAAAGGCTGCAGAGGCTTCTCTCGAGCCTCTGGGAGGCTGAAAAAGGCCTCAACCTGGCCAAAAAATGAGCTGGGAGGTGTGCGCATGTGCAGTGAGGTAAGATTGCCTGGGGCTCGTGTGCCTGCACAAATGGCTCTGGGTGCCACCTGTGGCACGCGTGCCATAGGTTCGCCATCATGACTCTGGATGATGAAGATTTCTCTGTTTCTCCATTAGGACTCTGTTGGGGAGCCCCTCTATATGCTCTTCCGGGGTATCAAGCACCAAGTCGACAAAGGGCCTGTGGACTGGGTAACTGGGAAGGCAAAGTACACCTTGAATGACAACCGGCTTCTCCGAGAAGACCTGGAATATCGCACACTGGTAAGGGCTAAGCATGGACCTGTCAGGAAGAAGCACAAGTAGAATCAGCCTTGGACCACACAATCAGCTGCGTGTTTCTAGCCACCTTCAGAATCCAGGACCTTCTTTCCAATCTCCATTCTGCTCCTAATAAGTCTTCCCATTCTTAACAAGTTGTCCTTTTCAAGCTCTGTGGATCAAGCCAGCCTGCACCCTCCCTGGCTAAGCAAACATAATACGGGGTGGGAAAAGGTGCGACTTATTCTTGCCCAATCTACTCCAGTCTGTTGCTCACCATAGGATGTTAGATTTTAATTCCCACATTGGATGGGCAATGACATCATTGCACAAATGGCCTGATTGCATAAAGATGTCATGACACTGTACAAGTACGGTAAGTGTGATAATTGGATTATCAAATCCTGGGGGGCTGAAGCCATAACACACCTAGGCTGGAGAAGACTATATTAAAGCATGCACATCATTTTTCACTTTTTCCCCCCAGCTTAAATAATACTTGACTACTTTAACAAGGCTGGGTTCACATACTGAACTGAGACAAAGAAAATACAGTTACTGTGTCCACATAACATAATGCTCTCAGCCATTATGACATAGTCCCCACAGGGCATGAAAAGAAAGACTGGATTCCAGCACTTACACTGAATTGTCAATTACCAGACCTATTCTCATTGAGCCTAGCAATCTGTGTAAATTCAGCATGCTAAATGTGTGCTCCCAAGCCCATACTTTCCTTCAAAGATTATGCAGAATGAAAGCATCAGAATCTTATCTGCACTCAGTGGCTGTGATGACCCATGGTGAGATACAAAAACAACAAAATCACAAAAACAGGTGAAGTCCCTTTAATTCCTTCAACTTGGCTTTAAAAGTCCAATTATCATTGACTGGAGGAAAAAACTCCCCCACAAACAGTTGTGAAAAGGAAGAACTTCCATTCAAATTCAAAATAGATATAAATTATAAATAGAAAAACAACAACAACACAAACCACACTGAAGCAATTAATGAGACAAGACAGGATAAGGGCTTGAAGACGTCCACAGATATCGAAATACACACACTGGGAAGGACGCCAGAACTCAGATAAGAACTGACAAACTAGAAATATTTTTATGCTTTGTTTCCAGCACTGGTCCATGCAGAGTTTGTCCTTTTAAACAGTCCTCACAGCTGCAGCCCATGAAGGGGATCAAGGCCCTTTCCTCTCCCATAGACCACGCCATTCACATTTCTCCCTTATTTGCTCCTCCCTGCGTGCCCTAGGATGAAGAGGGGATGGGCCTGGGTCTTCCTCTGAATGCCCAGCTGGCCTGTGCCCTTCCCCAGTTTCCTCCACAACCTCCGGAGCCACACTCCCACTCCCTGTTGGCTGTTCCTCCTCTCCTTCGGAATCAGATTCTAACAGGGGCATGACACCGACTCTCTTTGAAAATGAACCTCCCCTCCCAAATGCATTCATTTCTGTGGTTTCATTGCAGAGCTAGTATGGTACAGGTGGTCTTTGACTTAACAACCATTTGATCAGTGACCTTTCAAAATTTCGGTGGCACTGAAAAGACTGGCTTCACACTTACAACCATTGCAGCATCCCATGGTCATGTAATCAAAATTCACACATTTGGCAACTGATTCATATTTATGACTGTGGCAGGTCCCAGGGTCATGTTGATCCCCTTTTGTGAACTTCCGACCAGCAAAGTCCATGGGGAAGCCAGATTCACTTTACAACTATGTTGCTAACTTAACAACTGCAGCGATTCACTTAATAACTGTGGCAAGAAAGGTCATAAAACGGGGCAAAACTCACTTAATAGCTTTCTCGGTTGGCAACAGAAATTTCAGGTTCAATTATGGTCATAAATCAAGGGCTACCTATATATGGCTTTGTATCTAGATTGACAGTATTCGGTTCTCCATTAATCCATAACATTTACTGACTAACTTTTGGGCAATCAGTATCTCCCTTTCTAATCTATCTCACAGAATGGCTCTGTTTGTGCAGCATTTTTAACTGAGACTGAGTGGGGTGGAGTGAGCTGAAAACCTGGATCAAGTCTCCCATTCCTCAGAGTATTGAATGCTCTGACAGATCAGTCTGTCGATATTTAATTGCTTCCTTGTCAACTCTTTTCCTTCCCACTGAAATGAAATCCTGCAACGGCCTCCCCAAAAGCAGAGCTTCTTCAAGTGTCCAGTTTCTGCTGCCAGCTGAGAGAACAAACTCCCAAAAGCAGCGTCAGTGAGGGAAACTTTATGAGCCCCGCCCCTCCCCACCCCCCAAACTCACCTGCAATGTCACCTATCCTTCTTGCACCACTGTGTATATTTTCTCTGTGATTTTTTTTAAAAATCATGACAGGGAGTGGGAAGGGAAGCCCCCCTCCTTTTCATTGGCTCTCCAATGGCTGATCAAATCAATTCCAGTCTTGCATGGCTGACACATGCCAATTCAGTCATGGGGGAGGAGGGTTGCATAAGCCATGAGCCAAATCGGGGGCTGTGAGGCTAAAAGAGAAGCCATGTGTACCTCCAATTAATTAATGAATCCAGTCCTAATCCAAGACAACAGAAGGGGCCACCAGCACTCCTGCGGTTGCCAGGAGCTAAGAAGAAGAGGAATACACTGGATCGGTTGGCTTTCATTTCTTGTTTTGGCAGACATTAACGGCGCTGTCGCAAGCTGGGAACACTGGGGGAGGAACAGAAGGCAGCCAGGGAGTGTTGGTGAAGGGTCTGGATTGTGACACAATCACCCAAGTGAAAGAGAAGATCCTGGACCAACTCTACAAAGGGACACCTTATTGCCATCGACCGGATCCAGACACGCTTGACTTGGGTAAGTCAGAGACGCTGGAAGGGCCACCTTGAGTAAGACCCCGCCCCCCAAAGTGGAAGGCCACCCCTAAGATCCGCAGAGTGGAAGACCTCTTGTCAACCTCCCTCATCAGCTTTGTCCAGGTTGTTAGGCAATTGCAAAAAAAGTATTCCCCTCCATTTCCAAGGCAATCCAGGTGAACCAAATTAGCCAATGGGATGTGGGGAGGATCACTTGACCAGCTGCAATAGCCAATAGCGTGCTGGATGAACAAATGTGGACTTTTGCAGAATTGTTGTGGCCTGTCGGCTGCCGGCCCCTCCAGCAGCCGAATCAGAGGAAGAGGAGGCGTGGGAGTCAGGGCCAGCTTCAGGGCAACCTGGGATCTCCCAGGGGGAAGAGGGAATGGACTGGCAGAGAGAGAGAGAGAGACAGAGGTGGAGCCTGGGCTGTCTGTCAGCCCTCAGATGGAGAGTCAACAGCCCCCAGGCCTGGAAGTGGTTAATGAAGAAGAAGAGGAAGATCTGGGTCCAGTGCCTGACACGCGGCTGTGCAGAAGGCAGAGAAGAGGAGAGCAGTGGAAAGCCGTGGGCCAATCCTAGGGAAGAAAGAGCATCCACTTCTAGTGAGGCCTCACCCTAGTTCTGGGGATAAAAGGCAGCAGGTGGAGATGAATAGGTGTGCCAGAGAACTATTCATCTTCTGGCCAGACGGAGTTATTAGCCTGCGAGAGAAACTTTTTGCTGGGGCTGCTGGCATTCCTAATAAAGGAATCTTTTGAGGGTTTGTCATGTTTGGGGAGCTGGGTCAGAACAAGAATGCTGCTCTCAAACAAGTTGCCTTTTGTCTTTGCCTTGTGTTGCCTTGTGTGTGATGACAACAGAATGGCGGTCTGGGCTGGCTGGGCATCTCATCCTCTCTGATGAGGACGTGACTTCAATCATCCAGGGCAGCTGGAAGAGGCTCAACACACTGCAACACTATAAGGTGAGGGAAGCTCTCTTACTGTTATGGCCCTCTCTGCAGTGGTTAGCTTAACTCAGTAAGCATCTTTCTTCCCTTCTGGAAGGTCCTGGAACCTTCCAGAAGGGAAGAAGGTTAAGGCAAGGAGTCTCTTTTGGCCTTCTCTACCTGAGAAGTCGATAAAAATACTCTCACTTAGAATTAGACTGAAGATGGCCTAGCAGTTAAGACATTTACTGAGAGTTTGGCAGTTTGAGACCCAAATGTCACATGATGGGATGAGCTCCCGTTTACTGGCCCACCTAACAGTTTGAAAGGATAGACATGCAAGTAGATAAATAGGTACCACTTCGGGAAGAAGGTAACAGCATTCTGTGTGCCTTGACGTGGCTAACCTTTTTGGGCTCCTGTGCCAAAAATTGTGTGTGCGCTTGCACGCGTGTGCTCATATGCACCCAGAAGGCGATGTGCATGCCCCCCCACGCCTCCTGCACATGCCATTCCCCCCCCCCCCCCCCCCCCCCCCCCCCCCCCCCCCCCCGCTGCCTCTTACCTGTACTGCGCCTTCCAGCTGATTTTCGGCCTCCCAGAAGCTTGAGGATAACCTCTGCAACCTTTGCAGGCCGAAAAATAGGCCCGTTTCGTCACTTCATGTATTTCCGGAATACATGAAGTGACCTAGGCAGGCCGAAAAAGGCCTCAAACGGGCTGAAAATCAGGTGGTGCGTGCATGCGCAGTGAGGTAAGTTTGCCTGGGGCTCGTGTGCCCGCACAAATGGCTCTGCGTGCCACCTGTGGCACACGTGCCATAGGTTCGCCATCACGGGCATATATAATCATGCCAGCCACATGATCACAGAAGCATCTTCAGACAACGTTTAGGAAACAGACATGAGCACTGCCCTCTAAAGTCAGACATGACTCAACAGGGGAACCTTTACCTTTTGTTAGTCCTCCATTTACTGACAGTTCAGAGTTACAGGGGTGTTGAAAAAAATGACTTGGGACTGGTCCTCATACTTAACAACCATCACATTGACCCCATGGTCATGTGACCAAAATTTGGGCACTTCACAACCAATATGTATTTTTAGCAGTTGCAGCATTGGGAGAGGGGGCGTCATGTGATTTTTAAATGTTCTCAAAATTGTTTTCTTTATTTCCCGTCTTTATTATTTCTATAAATAATTGGCGTTTTGCAACTTTCTCAGGTAGCTTCTGACAAATCATTGTTGAAAGCCCGATTCACTGAACAACCACATGATTTATTTTACAGTGATTCACTTAAAGACTTTGGAGGGGAAAGCTTGTAAAATTGGGTCTGATTCAAAACAACCACCTTGTTTAGCAACAGACATTCTGTTCCAATTTGTGATCGTAAGTCAAGGACTTACAATTGCCTTACCACCAAACCATATTTCCAATGATCCCAAATACGATTTCCCCTGAGTAGAGCAAGCTTTTGAGATGAACAGGCTGAGATCTTGAGCCTAATCTGCTACTTGAACATTAAAAAAAAGACAGCTTCCTGTGAAAAATTGTTCTTGTTAAACATTGATCCGCTACTCTGAAATACAGCCACTGGGCATTAGCACCTGCGGATATATCTGTCTGATTTCAGCCTGCCATCATCTTTTCTAAGTTTTCTTGTTTTGTTTCTAAATATGCTAAGCCACTTCAAAAAGGAAGAGGAACAGCACTGGAATAGCAATCCTTTTAAGGAGCTCCGCGTAACTGGAGGAAAAGTTAGGATTTTGGATAGCCCATTCCCTCATCTGATCTGAACTTCAACCTGAGGCCCTGTGCATCATTGACATTGGAAAAAAAGAAGATATGAAAAGCCTTTCTTGATGTCAACTCATAAAACATTTTGTATATATGTTTTATAGTTGACAACAGAAAGAAGCGGGGGGGGGGGAGTTTCAAAGAGCAGGCGGCAGCGTGGAATCGAAAGTACATTCCATTCATATTTTCTTCAAACATTGATAAAATGACTGAAGCTTCTGCCATGCAAAAATCTAATTGGAGAGTATGATTGATGACTCTTGGCTATGGATGTTTTTCACCCAGAGGGGTGAAGGGAAAAGCAGGATCAAGGGTGATAGTGAATTATGTATCTCAGAGTTGGCTACGCCCAGGTAAATGCAGGACGTAGAATGTTACCTTCAATTAAATCTTTTTTAGTTTGGGGAGTGTGGCTCAAGGCTCGTGATTTAATTGGAGTAACTGCTGGAAACCTGACACTTGAGTCACAGACACATGAGAGGACTGATGGTGCACAAAAAGAAATTACAATGCCCTGTTGCAGAGCGGGGCAAGTGGGAGAATTTGTTAAATGACAGGAAACTGAGACGCTTTTAAGGCCACCAAGAAATAAATGTTACTGCAACATTTAGAACACACCTGCAAGTGTAAGCAGCAGATCTAAAGCAATTATAACCCAGGAACATACATCTCCTATATACATTCAATCACTTTCTGATGAAGGCACCTTCCGTGTAATTACTGGGACTCTTTGACAATTAGCATTGATCAGTATCAGAATAAGACTCTATATTCAGTTGCCTACAACTCATGCCACAATAGTTGTTTCTGAAAAGCTCTTAATCATAAAACAAAACCATTGTTTGTGATTACATAAAATAATCAACACATAAGTGATGCTCGCACTGATGAACAAGAGGAGCATAATTCGTCCCCTGTGAGATCAAAGAGAGTGACTCTAGGTCGTTGTTAATTTACAACCAGTTGCTTAGCAACCGGTTGAAATTGCAACGGACCTCCACGGGAGGGGGGGGAGACTTATAACCAAATCCCAAAGTCCCAATCTCTGTTGCCCCCTCCCCCTGCAGTCACATGACTGCATTTCAGTTCCCTGGCAATGGCCGTTTATAGCGTCTCCATGATCGCCCTTTGGTGAAAACCGGCATTTACGAGAAAACTGGCCCATATTGGGTTTGCTTACTGACTGTAGCATTCGTTTAACGATTGCCGCAAAATAGATAATAAAATCAGGTTGATTGGGTGACTCACTTCATGACCATCATGACTTACAACACTAATGGGCAGCCTCCATTTTGGTCGTAACCAGGGATGGGCTGCTGGGGGTTCGCAGAGGTTCAGGAGATCCTCTAGCTAAGATTCTGCACAGTTCAGAGAACCCCCAAATCCCACTCCTGGCTGGCCCCGCCCACCCCTCCCAGGAGCCCCCACACGGCCTGTTTTGGATGCAGGTAAGTGCAGGGCGTGCAGGGAGGCTCAAGGACAGCAAAAACCAGGAATCCCGGAAGTTTGGGAAGGTCGGAAATGGGCCTGTTTCTGGCTTCCAAAGAGCCTCCAGAGCCCGGGGAGAGGCCGTTTTTGCCCTCTCGGAGGCTCGAAAAAAGCCTCCGGAGGCTGGGGAGGGCAAAAATGCCACACACACCCCACTGTGGAGCAGGAGCCCAACTAGACCACGCCCATCATGGCCACACCCATCATGGCCCATCCAGCAACCATTTTTGAAGCCCACCCCTGGTCGTAAGTCAAGGACTATCTGTGGTAATTGGCAGCCTCCCCACCTTCCTGTTCATGGTAAAATCTTCCAACCTGTCTGTATGCATCAAGAAAGATTGCTGGCTGGACCGAAAAGAAGTAATTAAGTCCCTAGGCAGCCTATTAAGATCTAATCAGTGAACAATAGTTTTGGCTTCCTAGCACCACCATTCTGCCACCTTTCAAAATAGATTCTCTTTATATTCTGTTAAGTTCTGCAAGGCTGGCAAGCTCAGGAAACAAGCACTTGGATTTCTGGAAAAATAGCAGAATCTCGAAAACCTACCAGAGCCAATTCTCTAGCTCAGGATCTCCCAACTGGGGGTGCGAGATGATCTTCCAAGGGCTGCGAAAACTTGGGTTTAGAAGTTTCAAAATTATAGTGTATATGTATAATTATATGCATATATTTTTTTAAAAAGAGGCATGAAAATATATCAGAAGCATTCTAGGGGCGCGGGGTATGGAAAAGGCTGGGGACCCCTGCTCTATCTCAACATGTACCATAGCAAAATTAAGGTGGAGTTACTCGTGAGTCTCTTTCTCCTCCATCCTCTCTACCCTGGATGTAAAAGTCTCTTGTGTAATTGCCACGTTTCCTTCCTTAATTGTCTCCTCTGTATTCCCAAAGCCAGTTAGGCATTTCATCACACCTTCGGACAACAACTCATCCCAATCCATCTGCTGCATCTGGAACGTTTTTAACCGACTCCTTTATTACCCCCATAAGAGTTTTTAAGGATCAGCCTTTATACAGTAGTTCCAAAGGTGCTTTTCAAAAGGCAGCTGAACTTCCAAGGGCGGGGGGAAAACAACACGAAAGTCCAGTTGCCTTTTGAAAAGCATCTTTGGAACAACCATGATCTGGATGATGGAGAAATCTCCACAGACAACCAACCTTTATAGCTGGTCCTCCAGGACAGAGTAAATAAGACAGATAACTTGCCTATCATTGGAACAGCATCTGTCCCTGTAGATATGGGCAGTTCTTGAATTACGACCACAATTGATCCTAAAACTTCTATTGCTAAGCAAGATTAAGTGAATTTTGCCCCATTTTACGGCACTTTTTCCAGTGCCATTGTAACTTTGGGCAGACCCTAAACGAATGGTTGTAAGGTGAGGACTACCTGTAATTTCAGGCAACCCTCTGCCAACTATGGATAGTCCTCAACTTATGTCCGGTTACTTAGATCGTTCAAAGTTACAATGAACCAAAAAAAAGGGACTTATGACCTGGATTTGAAGTTCTGATATCCAGGACCCCCTTCGCGGCCACATAACTGCACTTTGGATGCCCAGCAATTGACCCACGTGTTTACAGCATCCCATGGTCACATGACTGATTTATGACATTTTTACTGGAAACCAGTGCTTACCCATTTTTTTGTATGCTGCTATCATTGTATCTCAATCTATTGGCAGATGACTATTATCCAGGCTGGAGGAAGGCTATAGAGTTCAAACTAGCAGCTTCTGGACTCACAAGCTAGATTCTTGTTTATCCTGAGGTATGGGGGCTAGGTGATCTAGTAGTTAAGATGCTGGGCTTATTTAAATTAGTTTACTCTTGTGGTTCAGATGAAATTAATTGGCCCTCCCCAATTCTGCTATGCTGAAATTTGTAAAGGGAAATTGAATTCTCTTTTTTCACTTCTTCTGTGTCAGTATTCAGGAAAGCTTAGACCATAGTTGAATTGAGCTTTTACTTTACGATTCTTGTATTATTATTACTGACGCCATGACTAAATTCTGTGCTGCTGAGGTAAAAACATGCCATAAAATATTATACGCTGATTGTTAGGTTTTAATGTTTCTTTAACCTATTGCAATAATGTATGTGAAAAACCACTCTTACTGCTTCAATACAGTACAGGAAAAACCAGATATATATATACATAAATAAATAATTAGCTGCTATTAACAACAAATGCTGTGATCAAATAAAAGAGGCTAGATTTAAAAATAAATTCTTCATAAGGGAATCCTGACCCTAAGTATTTTGGAGGTAAAGCCTGTCCTGTCAAGCTCCAAGCATTTTATGGACACCGCTGAACTGTGTAGATTCTGCTCTAATTATATCAAAAGTCATATTATATCATACATGTTATGTCACATTAGCACACAAGGAGAAAAGATGGTGCCAACTTCCAGATATTTTTTGCTGAAAAACAATGCAACAAGATGATGAGTCCAGAAAACTGTTTAACCCAATTTTTTTTTGTCCATGCCCTCAGGTGCCTGATGGAGCCACTGTTGCACTAGTCCCTCGTATGACCAAGCACCTTCCCAGGGAGAATCAGGATTACATCCCTGGAGAGAGTAAGTCACCACTCCAACTCTTATTTGGTTATTAGGGGAAAAGCAGCTTGGGTGGACTGAATGGACAGAGGAACAAAAAATGGACTGAAAGTTAATGAGCAGGTTAATTTAAGAATAAAGAAAGAAAAATGTTCAGTGGACAAATTGAGCAACTGCCACCTGATGATCCACTGCCAATCATCCAGAGTGGTCTTATGCTGGCTTGTGTCTTAGAAACTCCAATGCTGGAGGATGCAGATGAGGGTGGCATGAAACTTTGGCACCTGGTGAAATCGACCGAAGAACCTGAGCTGCCTAAACATCGGCGAGGGAGCCTGCGGGAACGGGAGAGAGCCAAAGCGATTCCAGAGATCTATCTAACACGCCTTCTTTCCATGAAGGTAAGAAGGTCTTTAGTTCTGCTCTATTTATTCCTAGCAATTCTTTCTGGCTTTATGTTCCTGGGTGCAATCTTTGGAGGAAGCTCTGTTGAAAGAATAAGACTTTCTCCTGAAGAAACATGCACTAATGCGGGTCTAGTTTCCTTGACTTGATCTCATCCATACTGTTATTTATTGGGAATTTAATTGGAAGACAAATTAGGACAGATGAAAGGAAACATTTCCATACATTGGGCATAGCTACCCTATGGGATTCTTTGACACAAGGTGTAGTAATAATGTTAGGAGACCTGAGAACTTCCCTAACACAATATACTTATAAGGGCTCCCTAGGAAAAAGTATTTAAGATACCGATAGATGCACATTTTCTTTCTTTCCAACTCTGTGATAGAAAGATTTTTGTGTTAGTGGAGATTAAGATGAACGGCAACAAATAGCCTGGCTTAAAGAGATCTTGTAAAAAAAAAATTTGTATAGGAAATGACCAGCTATTTTTTTTTCTTCTCTTCTTTATCTATCTCAGGGGTCTCCAAACTTGCTGACACATGGACTTCAATGCACAGAATTCCCCAGTCAGCATGGCTGGCCGAGGAATTCTGGGAGTTGAAATCCACAAGTTGAAGACCTCTGCCCTATCAGGATTCTCTAGCCCACAGAATTTGTGATTTCCTTAGCCGGTTTTCCTTAGATCAGAACTACATGTTGGGATCACCTTTCCCACTTTGACACATAATGGGGGAATCCATAACATCCATTGGCTGGTTCTATGCTATAAATTTATCCTGGACTTTTCCTTCAAGGTTTTCATTGCTCTTGTGTTTGTTAGCCCCCAAAGAGAACTGTGCCATAACTTCGTCTGACTTGTGCTATATTTGCTTGTAGGGGACGCTACAGAAATTTGTAGACGATTTATTCCAAGTGATCCTCAGTACCAATCGTCCTGTCCCTCTGGCTGTGAAGTATTTTTTTGACCTGCTAGATGAGCAAGCACTGAATCATGGGATCACAGATCCAGAAACCATCCATATCTGGAAAACAAATAGGTAAGCAACCAAATCTATTGGGAGCCACTTCTCAAAAGCTGAATGTCTCGTTTGTGCTATTTATTGGTTTGCTCTTCATTTCCCCGCAGAAGATAATAACCTCACCAAACTCTGCTGATGCCCAGCATAATATCATCTCTGTGATATTAATAATCCTATTTTAAAGATAGGGAATATTACACTCAGAAAATTATGGACCAGCCTGGATGGGATGGTGAATATGGCACCAGTGGGAGGGGGTTTATCTGTAAGACAGAGCAATTAGAAATTTTGTAGGCACTGCAGTTGGAGGAAAATAGGGTAAACTATGCTGTTTCATGTTTTATAGGCTTAGTTAAGTAGCCTGTATATTGCACTACAGAAATACGTCTCACACACACATGAAACTGGCATGTTTTGCACCATTCGTACAGTAGTAACATAACTGATACTTACTTAATTCACTGGTGCGCTGAGCGCATTTCATTTGTAGGCAGCTCCAAACAGCCACGACAACAACGATATGGTGACCTGGGTCTCATTTGCATCACTGCACGAATGACATGATTGCGTAATGATGTCATGACACTACACAAGTACGGTCAATATGACCATTGTAAAATGGGTCTGTCGCATGACCAACTCAGTTTTATGTATTTTGTGACAGTTACTAAGCAAACTGTGCAGTTGTAAAAAAGGCCTCTGGGGTTGTTAGGCAAACCTATAGGGTGAGTGACCTGGGTCTCTCTATACTATATGAATGACCCATTGGGATCCGTGTCTCAAAACAACTTACCTGATGTGTGGCTAGAATCTGAAAATAAACATAGCACACTGGTTAAGCAAAATGGTTTGGTTGAGATCTGCATATTTGGGGACTGATGGGTGTAGACTGCAGAGTGGCACCAAAATATAATTTTATCATGTTTTATCTATATCTTAAATTATCGTATTTCAATTTCATTTTAGACTGTATTTTATTCCAATTTCATTTTAAATCGTACTTTATTCCAATTTCATCTTAAATCGTATTTTATCCGATTCCATTTTTAATTGCTTTGATCAAAGTTTAGTAATAATTTGTTTCTGGAAGTTTGCACTTTGATATGGCCCAAGGGCTAATCAATAAAGAGATCTATATTAACTATTGGGCACCCAAAGGTGCTTTTTTTTTTTTTCCAAGAGATAACTAAATTTTATTGGTTTTTCTTTGAAAGACGTTTCGCTTCTCATCCAAGAAGCTTCTTCAGCTCTGACTGGATGGTGGGGAATGGAAGGATTCAGAATCCAGTCAGAGCTGAAGAAGCTTCTTGGATGAGAAGCAAAACGTCTTCAAAGAAAAATCAGAACGTCCAGTTGCCTCTGGAAAAAAAAAAAAAGCACCTTTGGGGCAACCATGATCTGAATGACTGAGAATCTCCATAGAGATTCACTATTGGACACTTTTTGTCCCAAAAACTGACGTAAATTCTGGTTTTCAGCAAAACTGTCATAAAACCTGGTCATGTGGCACACAGGATACTGCAGCCTGGTTGCCAAGTACCTGTAGTTTGGTCATGTGACCACAGGCGGAGCCCAACCATCAGAACTATAAATCTGTGTCATAAATACCTTCCATGTTAGGTTTGTTGCGACTTCGGACAGTTACTAAGCGGCCAGTTGTAAGTTGAGGATGACATTTACATAACTGACATCATTTGTGTCCCGATGTTGTCGTGAGCGTGTCGTTTGCCAGCCTCTACAAGTTAGGGGTCGTGCCAAGTACTCTCAACGGAGCCTTTTTTCCTTCCTGCAGCCTGCCTTTAAGGTTCTGGATCAACATCATCAAGAACCCCCAGTTTGTGTTTGATGTGCAGACGTCAGATAATGTGGACGCTGTGCTCTTGGTCATTGCTCAGACCTTCATGGACTCCTGCACCCTCGCTGACCACAAACTGGGTCGGGTAAGCCTGGAAGAATGCAGCTGAGAATGAATGTGAAGAGAATCTGGAAGCCATGTCCCCCAAATGGTTGTTTCCCGGTGCAAGAGGCATTGTGACAGGGTATCCAGGTTTTTTGGATCTAGGCTGAATAGACAGAGGGAATAGAATCAAGATCACGTGAAGTGTTAATACCAGTTTATAATGCCTTTGGTAAGGCCGTACTTGGAATACCGCATCCAGTTTTGGTCGCCATGGTGTAAAAAAAAATGTTGAGATGATAGAGAGTGCAGAGAAGAGCCACAAAGATGATTAGGGGACTGGAGGCTAAAACATATGAAGAACGGTTGCTGGAACTGGGTATGTCTAGTCTGATGAAAAGAAGGACCAGGGGAGACATGATAGCAGTGTTCCAGTATCTCAGGGGCTGCCACAAAGAAGAGGGAGTCAAGCTATTCTCCAAAGCACCTGAGGGCAAGGCAAGAAGCAACGGTTGGAAACTAATCAAGGAGAGAAGCAACCTAGAACCGAGGAGGAATTTCCTGACAGTTAGAACAATTAATCAGTGGAACAGCTTTGCCTCCAGAAGTTGTGAATGCTCCAACACTGGAGGTCTTTGAAGAAGAGATTGGACAACCTTTTGTCTGAAGTGGTGAAGAGTTTCCTACCTAAGCAGAGGGTTGGACTAGAAGACCTCCAAGGTCCCTCCCAACTCTTATTCTATGTCTATGTCTATTCTATTCTATTCTATTCTATTCTTTCTCTATTCTGTTCTGTTCTATTCTATTCTATTCTATTCTATTCTATTCTTTCTCTATTCTATATTATTCTATTCTATTCTATATTATTCTATTCTATTATTCTATTCTATTCTATTCTTTCTCTATTCTGTTCTGTTCTATTCTATTCTATTCTTTCCCTATTCTATATTATTCTATTCTATTCTTTCCCTATTCTATATTATTCTATTCTACTATTCTGTTCTATTCTATATTATTCTATTCTGTTCTATTATTCTGTTCTATTCTATTCTATTCTATTCTTTCTCTATTCTATAATTCTATTATTCTATTCCATTCTTTCTCTATTCTATATTATTCTATTATTCTATTCTATATTATTCTATTCTATTCTACTATTCTATTCTATTCTATTCTATTCTATTCTATTCTATTTTCTATTCTTGTCTTTCTCTCAGATGGCTGGTTCTCATATGGTTACATTGTCTCTTTCTGGTATAGAAACCGCAGCATTTTCTTAAAGGGAAAATGCTACTTTATGAGCATTAGTGTGCCTTGTCATAGGAGATGTGGTTGCTGCATTATCATGGACATCTCTTAGCTAGTACTAGCGATGCCAGCAGTGCTAAGGAGCACCCCACCCGTTTTTCAGAGGAAGATTCAGGTGTGATTGCTTGGATAAGGAGAGGAAATGGAAGCGTTCTGTCAGTGCCTCCAGTTACAGCTTTTTCTTCCTTTCCTCCTCATTCCCCCTGAGAGAGTGTTAATTGTTTTCATGGTGTGTAAAATTTTCTGGGCAGTGAAATTAACGTCTTGCTTCTCTGGTGGCCTTTCCAGGATTCCCCAATTAACAAGCTGCTCTATGCCCGCGACATTCCACGCTATAAACAGATGGTGGAAAGGTAAGGAAGAAGATGCGAAGGGAAGTGTGATGACCCGGGGTGTGGTACAAAGTCAACACAGTCACATAAGTAAGAAGAGTCCCTTTAGTACCTCCAATTTTGCCTCCAATGTCCAGATTACCTTCGGCTGGAGAAAAAACTCTCCCAGCCTTTAAGTGGAGGAAATTCAGTAAGAAAACGAAGTACATACAAACTGTAAATAGAAGTCCACGCAAACCACGCTGCAGTAATTAACTTGACAGGGCAAGGAATTGCAGACTTGAAAGGCCAGCAAAACACACACAGTTGGGAAGATGTCAGGAACCCAGATAAGCCTCGACAATACCAGATAATTCACAATTTGCTCTCAACAGTTGGCTGTGCACAACTCCCCTTTTTAAACACTGTGTTCCCAGTTGCAGCTAATGAAGGGAATCAGGGCCCTTTCCTCCCCTGTAATCCACGCAACTCACGTTGCTCCCTTCTCCGTTCCGGCCTGCGTGCCCTAGGATGAAGAGGGGATGGGCCTGGGTCTTCCTCCGAATTCCTTCTGCCTTGCTATACCTCTCCCCTGCTCTGCCCAGCCAGACTTTGCCCTTCCCTGGTTTCTTCCACAGCCAATGGAGCCACACTTCCACTCCCTATCAGCAGCTCAGGCTCCCCCTCCAAATCAAATTCCGACAGGAGTCCAGATATATTCAGAGAAGGAGAATAGGCAGATGAGAAGCTGGATGCAACCATAATAAGAAAGAACCTTTCTCTTCTGCAGGTACTATGCAGATATTCGCCAAACCATCTCGGCTAGCGATCAAGAGATGAATTCTGCCTTGGCGGAGCTGTCACGGGTGAGAGTCCTCCCAGCCGCATCCTTCCTTTTTTCTGTACACGTTCCTAGCCAGGGCCTTTATGAGGGCCGTTCTTAGAAGCAGCATTGGTGTCCTTTGCCACTGGTGATTTCATTATAGGTAGTCGAGGACTACCTCGACTTATGACCTGTGGCTTAGCAACTCTTCGAAGTTATGACTGACCTGGAAAGGGGGAGTTACGGCTGTGAGGTTCTGAAGTCCCAATGGTTGATCTCCCTCAGGTCACATGACCAGACCTCAGGCCCAAGGCGACACAGCCACATGCACCCCTGTTTGCCGCTCTCCACAGTCACAGGACTGCATTTCATTACCTCTTTGCCAAAACCTGCCACTTATTTCTGGGTTTTGGCAAGAACTATACCTGTAATGAACCTATCTTCCCTCTGCCCTTTTGGCCCCCCCTGCGGCCCCCCCTTGTAGGGTAGCCGGCAACCCCCAAACTGTACTCTTGGGATGCTGGCCACACCCCAAGAAGCCCCAGCTCTTGCTCCTGTCAAGGTGTGCCCTAGCAGGCAAAAGCAAGCCCCCTTGGTACACAGTCTGCTTGCTGTAGCTGCCTTGCTTTTACCAGCTTTGTGCAAAGGGACTGCTTGGTGCGAAGGGCTAGGGTGGGGCACACATTGTCAGCAGCAAAAGCAAGACAATGGCAAAAGTAGGCTGAGGCAGTGGAATGCAGGGTGCAAAGGGGCACAGATAAGAGGAGAGATAGTGGGTGTGGGAGTTGAAGCAACGTTGTGGTTGTAAGTGAGGCCTGGTTGTTCTAGCCTGTCAACCGCCGGTCCCTCCAACAGCTAGATCAGAGGAGGAGGAGGAGGAGGAGGAGGAGGAGGAGGAGGCCTGGGAGTCTAGGTCAGCACCAAGGCAACCTGGGGGCTCCAAGGGGGAAGAGGGAATGGAGCTGGCAGACGGAGAGAAACACACACAGAGGCGGAGACTGGACCACCTGTCAGCCCTCAAATGGAGTGTCAACAGCCCCCGGGTCTGGAGGTGGCTGCTGAGGAAGAGGAGGAACAGCTGGGTCCACGTTCCTGCGGATGCACAGAAGGGAGAGGAGAGGAGAGCAGTGGAAATATGTGGGCCGATCCTTGGGAAGGAAGAGCCGCCGCTGCTAGCGATGCCTCATCCTGGCTCTGGGGATAAAAGGCAGGGGGTGGAGATGAATAAGTGTGGCAGAGAACTATTCATCTTCCAGCCAGACGGACTTGTTAGCCTGCATTGAAGAGAGAGACTTTTTGCTGGGGTTGCCGGCACTCCTAATAAAGAGAACGTTTATTTAACTACAGAGGATTTGTTGTGTTTGGGGAGCTGGGTCAGAACACCTGGCTGCCCAGCACCTGAATTTTATGCTGCTGGAGGTGTTGCCTTGGCTATAACTTCAGGCCCAGGTCAGAAGTCCCCCCCCCTTTTTTTTAAACCACTGTCATAACTTCAAATGGCTGTAAGCCAAGGGCTACCTGTAGGGCAGAATTAGCTCACGCTTTCTGGATCTCCTCTCCTGGATGTAGACTCGGGCTCCCCTATAGCCGCTTGGTAAAAGAGACTGTAAGGAAAACCTGGATCATCCCACAGGTGATCCTTTTTGGATGAGAAGCAAAACGTCTTCAAAGTCAAAGAAAAACCAGAAAGTCCAGTTGCCTCTTGGAAAAAGCACCTTTGGAACAATCATGACCTGGATGACTGAGGATCTCCATAAAACTAGGATTAATTCAGATCATCCACAGGTTGCAGGCCTAACTCTGGTCGTGCAGCCCTTGTTCGTTCCTTGGGCACCTCCAGCCAAAAGGCTCCGATAAGATATGATGAGAGAGGCATGAAATGGAGAAGAGGAGGCAATTCATCTGCCTTAGTGTGAGGGAGTCTGTGACTCATTTGCCACCTGGCCTGCCCAGCGGGGAACTCGATCTACTGTACTTTGAAACATGGCTTAGTGAGGCTTTGGCTCCCATAACTAAAAATAGCTGGTATCTCTTGCTTACAGAATTACTCAGGTGAACTCAATTCTTTGGTGGCTCTGCATGAACTCTACAAGTACATCAACAAATACTATGATCAGGTGAGGCTATTTTCCTTCCAGCTTGGTTTTTGTTTCGTTTTGTTGGAGGGAGGGAGACGTAGAGACACCACACCCATCTCCCCTATTGTGATTGTGGTGACAAATGAACACAAATAAGATTATGGCTCTCTTTGGATGCCCCACTGGCGAAGCAATATCTTCAGATTGTATTCCACCAGAGTTTTTGGAGCATTGGTGACTAAAGAGAAAGAAAGTCCCATAAAGCAATCTGCTTCTTGCATTTTTTTCAAACTGAATTTAATAAACTTAAAAATCCTCTCACTCCATGCCTCAGACCTCTGTTTTCATACTTCTCCTTGGCTTCTTGGAAGGTCAGTAAGGAAAGGAAATCTGGGGATCGATTTTGAGCGCAGGGAAGAATCCAGTTCTCCAGATCTGAAGGAGCACACTCCACAGTTAGAACATCACCATCAAAAAGGCCCCAATGCTAGCAGATGCCCTGTATCAGGCAAGGAAAACACCCAAAACTTCTGAGATTTGAGAAGGTTTAGATCAGGGGTATCAAATTGGATTTCTTTAAGGGCCGGATCAGCGTTGTAGCTCTCTTCCGCAGGCTGGTTGGTGGCGGGGGGAGACGGATGCCTCCTGCAACATCCTGCTGGCCAAAACGGGGTCCAAAACGCGGCTCCCCCATGCCTCGTTTTGGCCGGCAAGGTGCTGCAGGAGGCCGTCGAGGCCAAAAATGGGACATGGGGGGCTGTTTTGGCTGCCAGAGGCACTGCAGGCCGGTCCTTTGCTATTTAACCTCAAACTAACCACTATTGACCTCACCCCATTCCTAAGAGGGCTGTAAGGGACGTGCATAAGTGCACCATCCGTGCCTACCGCCCCTGTCCTATTGTCCCCATTTATTTGTACCTATTTCCTGTATTCTTACTCATGTTTATACTTTATATCTATTATCTTGTAAGCGATCGACAAATCAAATCAATCAATAAATAAATTTCCAGGCCAGATTTAAGCATCCCGCAGGCCGGATCCAGCCCGTGGGCCTTGAGTTTGACAACCCCTGGTTTAGATGAACTGTCCCATGAGGCATGTCTCTAGGAGAAAGAGATTTCTTCCTCTGAGGCATTCCCTCAAATATCCAGGCCTGACGGTGGGAGGCAGTCGTTGGTTAATAGCTCTGGTTCTGCCCACAGATCATCACAGCCTTGGAAGAAGACCCGATCGCACAGAAAATGCAGCTGGGATACCGCCTGCAACAGATTGCCGCAGCAGTGGAGAACAAAGTCACAGACTTGTGAGGTGACCAAGGGACAGTCGGGTAGAACGAAAACAAGACAGCACCCACCGCCGTCCCCACCGATGCTCTATGCTGAGGTGGAGAAGCAGCAGCAGCAGCAGCAGCAGCAGCAGAGGGTCAGAAAATGCCAAGGGCGAGGAGGTGCCAGAGAACTACTTTTTCTTTTTTTTTACAGACTCTTTTTTAAAAAAAAATAAAAAAAAATAACACTTCATGATAATAATGAACTTGTGCCCAGAAGCCGAAAGGCTCCATCAGATGAACTGAGCCATTTTCAGCCAGGAGGCCAAATGTTATGAATGTGCCAAGGGAGTTAGAGAACAGTGCAGCTGTGGGGGATGCTGGATCTTTACACACACACACACACACACACACACCACCCTGTGAAGAACGAGGCGGGAACCTGAACTCTCGTTGAGCTTCCTACGGACTTTCTTGGATTCCCTAGAGAGCGTATCCTACTGGCCTAACTTGGGGAGATTCCCCCCCTGCCCTTCTTGCTGCACTTGGAGTCTCAACACCCACCTTCCTCCGGAATGATGGGGGGGGGCGGAACGAGCTAAGACGAGCACAACGGACAAAGGAAGAGGCCAGAGGAAGGAAGACCCGGCTCCCAGCTTGTGATAAATCCCTCAAAGATGGCGGGAAATCGCCTCCTTTCCTCACCGTTACCTGCTCGACATGGTCCTGAAGTTCCCTTGGGCGTGCCTTCCTGTAGCTGCTGCTTCCGGCCCTTGCCCCGTTCTGCTTTCCTAAAAGCACAAAACGACATTACCACCATCGCCCTTGCCTTCCCAACCGCGAACAAGGGGGTTGCTGCGCCAATCGCTCCGCAGAAAAGAGGCCAGACCCTATGGGAGCTTCAAGGTTTCGAGGTCCTCCCCCTCACCCTTTGGGTTAGCACTTCTCGAGTAAACACCCTTCCTTCTGAGGATCCCTTCTTCCTAGACACCCGAATTCACCCTTCTTCCCCCTCTGGAGATTTTCCCGTCTTTTTTTTTCTTTTCCCAGAGGCTTCTTGGAAGGATGACAAAGCTGGTGATTTGCCCCTTTGATTTTCCCCCAAGTCCTTCACCCTGGCGGGTTTTGCTATTTGTATCCCTATGGCTATCCGGGGGCCCATTTGTTGCTATGCCCTTCTCCTGTCTCTCTGAGAGCAGCTAGATTTACAGGCATTAGCAAATCATAATGTTCATCTCCGTGTCATGACAAGCACCGCCTGCTGGTTTTTGTAACTTAATCTGCTATTAAAGAAGGGAAGGGGAAGCCAAGCAGAGCCCCCTCCCCTCCTCTCTTCTTTTTTTTTTTTTTTGGCCAGCTTTAGTCTGATTGAAATTAAATCTCAGCCATGGGTTTGATAATTATTCCCCGGTCCTTTCTGTTAATAGACGAGGTGAGCACATTCGTTCTCTTAATTTCATCTCTTTGTCTCTTCTTCTTGTCCATTATCTGTTAGTAACCCAAATCCAGGGAGGAAAAGAACCCTCCATGCTCCAGTTAGCTATGCTCTGATAGATTGGGATCTTTGCTCATTAGTAGTTTCTTCTAATACCAGAAATAATTTCATTTTGCCATTCGGTATCACAGGCTTCAGAGCTCTGCAAACCTTCTAGTACAGGGGTGTCAAACTCCATTTCATTGAGGGCCGCATCAAGGTTGGGGGGGGTGCTGGAGTGGGCGTGGCCAGGCTGGGTGTGGCCAGCTTGTCGTCATTCACGTCGGGGGCACTTGTGGTGGACGGAGCACTCTGCCAGAGAAAACGGGCTTCCGAGCTCCATTTTAGGCTGCAGCAGCCTCCTGCAACCTTCTGCCAGCAAAAACAGAGCTCAGGAGGGCCCCAAGCTTCATTTTTGTTGGCAGAGGCACAACGGGCCAGTCCTTTGCTGTTTCTAAAGCGGCCCCATGGGCCAAAGCACTCCGTAGACCGGATCCCCCTCCCCCCGGGCCTTCAGTTTGATACCCCTGCTCTAGTAGCGTTGCAGTCTTTTAGGTGGGATATTGTGCAAACAGATGGAAGTGGCAGACACTCAAATACTCTCACTTTTGTAGCTATAGGCAGCAACTAACATTTATTGCTCTGGTGAGATACACTCATGCCAGCTTTTTGAGTTCAACCAGTTTTCAAGAATGTGGTTCAACTTAAAAAACAACAACTACATATCGTATTTGGGAACACAAGTATGTTGACCGCTTGGGGAGAAAATGTCATGAAATGTCATGTAAGAAATGTCTAAGCTGTATACTTGCAAAGAGTTTTATTTATGTCATTATTTAAAATGGCTACCAGAGAGAGGGATTTGGACACTGCTGGGAGATAGTTAACCATTCTGCTCCATGCAATTTCCTAAATGAAGGCAGCCCTGACATTGTTTTTTTTTCCTGTGGGATTGGGAAAAACGCAGATCCGGTCTTAGCTGTTGTATGTTTTCACATGTTAGTTTCTAGGCAGGGAGATTAAAAGGAGAATCTCACAAGGTAGTAAGGAAAATGAGCCACCATTTTAAGTTTTACTGAGGTCACTTGTTCTCTCTTCTAACTATTTTTGAAAGTTTTCCTTTGTGACCAACCAAGCTTTTTCAGAAAGAGATTGAACACTACAACCGCATTTGTACGTTTTATGTAAATAGGAGTTGTATGAAAAATCCTGTTACCAATGGGATTTCATTCAATGCCTCTAACAGCACGGACGACATTTCTGGTCTCCTGAATCAAATCATCTACAACAGTATAGGAAGGTGTGAGAAAGGCATGGAATATCCCAAAGGTGCTTTTTCAAGAGGCAGCTGGACTTCCTTTGTTTTCCTTGAAGACGTTTCGCTTCTCATCCAAGAAGCTTCTTCAGCTCTGAACTGAAGCCCAGTTGCCTCTTGAAAAAGCACCTTTGGGACAACCACAACCTGCATGACTGAGAATCTCCCTAGACAAGGCATGGAATGGTTTGATCTGAGCTGGGGACACTCAAAATGGTGCAGGCTATTTTGAGCATTCCCAGTTCAGATGAAAAATAACCCCGTCCTTCTAGTGCACCCTCCTCTCCTATTAGATGCAGGTCAACCTTAATGGTTGCTCTTGAAGCCAAAAGAAATGGAGACGTTTCACCATCTCCTCCTTTTCTTGGCTGGCCTTTGATGAGTATTTAATAGCAGCCTGACCCACAGATACGGGTAGGTGATAATGCATCGGTCCTCATGCCACGGAAAGCTTGACCTGCTGATGGCAGCAGATTAATGATCAGGCTGGACCGCAACAGGACTCGTTTAACAAAACAAGGCTGCAGCTGCTCCCCTCTTTCACAGCAGCAGCTCTGTTTTAGCAGCAAGTCCAAGCCTGGCACGTTAGTAACTTACCTCCAGCAAGGTGTGTTTTGGGTTTTCCCCCTTATATACAAATAGTCCTCGACTTAACAACTTTCTGTTTAGGGACCATTCAAAATTGCAACGGCACTGAAAAAAGTGACTTATGACCATTTCCCACCCTTACAACCGTTGCAGCATCCACACGGTCACATGACCAAAATTCAGACGCTTAGCAGCTGACTCATATTTATGACCGGTTGCAGTGTCCTGGGTGATCCGCTTTTGCGACCTTCTGACAAGCAAGGTCAATGGGGAAGCCGGCTTCGCTTCACAACCATGTGACTGAGAATTGCAGCGATTCGCTTAACAACTGTGGTCGTAAAATGGGGCAAAACTCACCAAAGGACTGTCTCGCTTAGCAACAGATATTTTGGGCTTAGTTCAGTGTTGGGCTGCAACCGGTTTAACAGCCAGTTCTGTGAGCCAGAAAGGAAATATAGGACAGGATAGGGCGGGGCCGGGTGGGTGGGGCCAGCTGATGGTTGGAACTACCGGTTGGCTAGAACCGGTCCGAACCACCAGCAGCCCATCACTGGCTGAGTTGTGGTTGGGGGCTACCTGTGCATTGCAGGAAGGGCTTCCAACCATGGAGGCTACAATTGAGAGAAAGAAAATGGCCGTGGTTACTGAAGAAAGGGCTCCCAAATCCTAAATTTGGGGAGAATTACAAAGGTGTTAACACTGCTTCTATTTTGGCCTTTTTTGCATCCTGAGCCAATAATCTGCTTTTCCATTCCCCCTCCCCACTTTTTTTTCTTTTTCTTTTGTATTCTGGTTCAGCTCCTTCCTACCCACTCCTAAAAATCTGCTCTCTTAAACTGATTGGAGGATTAGGTCATTATTAATCTGAAAAGCTTGATGGACAACCCACCCTGGTTTTCTTATGATTGTTGTTGTTCCATAGTATAATGTTATTGTAGATACTGCTCTGAGCAAAGTAGGGGTTTTTTATCATGAAATGAGAAGTTTTGTCTGTAAATAATCAGCTTAGATTCCAGATTACTTTTATTACAGAGCAAAAATTCTTACATGGTAATTCAATAAACTTTAATATACAACACAGAAACGTGGCTCTTCCTCCTTGTTAATTGGCTTCCTTCAGGATGCATCAGATCTTCCAAGGGGGAATGTGAAGGAAAAAAATATCAGTGATTGTTTTTTTTACTGGATTTTTTTTTTTTCAGAAGACATCCATAAAATTAGCAGGTAACGGAAGAGCATCAGCTCACTTGCACTAAGTTTTAATGTAGTTTATAGAATGTATGGATGAGATATTGTAATTTGCTGACTGCCGTTTATGACGTTTGTAAAGCAATTGCTGTGATTTGTCTAATAAAACAAGACTTAAAATAGTATATGAACCTAAGTGCCACCATGGTTTGAAACAATCGTGGATATCACGTTTAAAGCAGGATATTGATAATCTGAAATCAAGTCTTACCAAGAGAAATCAAACAATACAATATTTTATTGCTCAACAAGAAATGATAAAGAGGCAGTGATTCAGTTCACACATCATACTGAAACACAGAATGGGCCAATTATAGGTGAGCTCTATGATTTTGATTTTATAAACCATTGTCTTACAGTTTAGTGTCCCAGAACTTTAGCCGAGTCCTAAAATCCTTGGTTATAGCCGAGTAATTATTTATAAAGTTGTACTTTTTAAGGGGACAGATGTGGGAAAGTGTTAAATAGTTGATTTTTGATTGTGTGCCATCAAGTTGATATCAACTCTTAGCAATCATATAGCATGGCGATTTATTCCTAACTCATTTTTCAAGTCTGCCACGTTTACATTCATCATCACTGTAACTGAGTCTATCCTCCTGCTGCTGATTGTCCTTTTCTTCTCTTTTTACTTCCACCTTTCCCAGCATTTGAGCCTTTTCTGGAGAGCTACAACTTCACATCATGTGTCCAAAATAGGATAAATTAAGCCAATTATTTATGTATCCAGTAATTTGGCTTAATTTGTTTCATGATCTATTGGCTTTTTTTGGCTGTTCACAGTACTCTTAGTCTTCACCGCCACCAAAGTTCAAAAGCATCAATATTTTCCCCATCTTTCTTCAAAGTCCAACTTTTGCTTCCATAGACTCTAACAGCTTGCATGATCCTGATTTTTGTAGGTATAGACACATCACAGCATTTTAATATCTTTTCCAGGGCCCTCATGGTTGTTCTACCAAGTGCATCAGTAAAGGAACACAGGCTAGCCCTTGGTTGATCCTAAAAGGCAGAAGCTATTCACAGAATGGGAGAATTATCTATTATCTATATTACATTGTAAGGAAACCAAATTATTTGGGGTTTTGGCTCCTTTCTATAGCAGTTTGAACTGCTGACGGATGCAAAAAATATTGGGCCTTGCTCAACCCCATCTGTGGCTGATTAAAGTGCAATCAAACATGTCACTGCTCACTGATGAGAACTAAAGTCCATCCCTCTTAATATATTTAAAAGTCTCAATACATCAATGGAGTAAATACATTTTCTATTGCTTTAAATGGTAGGACACAGTCAGATTCATATTTTTACTGCCAGACTGCATATAAGTTTTATTTTTGTTATCATTACCATTATTATTATTATTATTTAGGTCAAATAGGAACATCATTAGTAAGCTTCAGTATAAATTTTTCAGATTATTCCACTCAAATTCCATTTGTTCTAATCTTAAAGTTTCCACATCTGGATTGCAAAACTGCTCAGTGCCATTACAATTTCCCTTCCCCTTTGCTGCCATATAGCGGCAGTTTGGATTTTTGTCGCTCAGATCCTGGGTAACCCTAGCAACCCAAGCTTGCTTCGAGGAGACGTTACCAAGCATCTTATCTTCCCGCCTCCATTATAAATCGCTGACTACAAGAATAATGAAGCCCACAGGGCCGGGGCGCTGCTTTACAAAGCGGCCCGACCTAATCCTTCGCCATTGCGTTAAAACCTGCGTGTGGGGAGAGGGGGGGGGCGCATTTTCCGTCCGACCATGAAGCGGTTCCTTTTTCGTACTAGCGCTTGAAAGAAAGTGACCCGGGCTGTCGAGGCTCTTTGCAAACGGACGAGAGGAAGCCAAGTCAACCCGCAGGAGTCCCGGGGAGCAGACTTGGGACGACAGGCGCCCACGACCGCATCTCGGAGAGAATCTGAATCAGAAAAGAGCTGGAAGGGACCTTGGAGATCTTCTAGTCCAGCCCTCGGCTCAAGCAGGAGACCCCATACCATTTCAGACAAGTGTCTGTCCTGTCTTTTCTTTAAAACCTCCAGTGATGAAGCCCCTAT